AACAGAGAAGGTGGCACCACAGACACAAGTAGAAGGGAGCCGTGCAGGGTGCCAGCCATACCGCAATGCCAGACCATCGCGAAATTCACATTTTGACAAGCTGAACCCATGCCGACTGAGGGGGCGTCCCGCCGCGACACGTGAGCCAGCTGGACGCACCCGCCTCACTGCCAAGGTTGATGGAGTGCTGGAGGGCAGAGGAGGCTCGGGCGGTGAATTGGCGAAGGGCTTCCGTGGCAGCTGCCTTCACATCCTTGCGGTTAGAGGCCTTCAGGCTGGCGACCTCTGCCAAAGAGTCGCCCAGGTTGAAACTCTGGGTGAGGATGTTGGCAACCATAGGAGCAGTGATGGCACGTGAGGATTGGTATTGGGCCGACAGAGAGGTGGGATCCAATATTCCTAGACCGCACCGTTCCGGCAGGGGAAGGAGAAAAGGGTGCGGAGCTCAGAGCTGATTTCCTGGCCTGTGAGAGCTGGGAGGAGCTTCGTGGCAATGACCCGCTCCAGTGAAGCAAGGCCAGCAGACGCACTTTCGAGTACCCGGCAGAGGAAAGACCAGCGGCTTGAGAGGCCTCGGGTGAAAGCAGAATAGGCTGCTTGTGGCTGAGGCAGGGCGGTTGATGTCAGTGATTCGACCTGCCCACACCAGTCCCGGGCTTTCTCGTGTACGTAGTCTTCGACAAACGCAGGTGTGCCTATGGCTGAACCCAGGTAGCGGTTGCCTGTGGCGGTGATGTGGATTCCTGTGCCGTCGAACAGCTGGACAGCTTCATCGTAGTCGTCAGGCTTCACCACGAGCACGGACTTTGCTGGGTTGAGGAAGTATCCGAAATCAGGCCCTCTGTCGTGCAGTTTGTCCCACCAGGTTCGGAGAGGAACGAGTCGGCCACCTGCGGACGAATCGTCCGCATACCATAGCTGGCAGGCGCCGGGTGTTACGATCTCCCGGATGAGAGGGACTACGCCGATCGCATATAACGGCATCGCAATGGGGTCGCCCTGTGTTGTGCCCTCATTGGAATGAATACATTCACACTCCACGTAGAGATTGCTGGGCTGACGGTAGGTGTTGATTACAACCGTGGCAAACGAGGGGCATAGGTGCTGCACATTCCGTAGGCAGGCGGCGCGATTGATGTTGTTGAACGCATTAGTTGCATCAGCCATGATGATGCCCTGGGTGTCCTCCTGGTCGTACACATCATGCATAGCGTGAATTGCGGCCTCAATACCGAAATCCTGCCCGGCACACAGCTGCAAACCACCAGCAGCTTCCTGGATGTCTGCGCTGATGACGTGAAGAATCGCCTTCCCCACTACACGACGAAGCACCTCGCCTACGCCGATCGGCCTCACGCCCGGGTGTTTGTCGAGAGGGATTAGCCTCGAGGCTAGGTAGGCCTCTAGGGCATTCGGATCAACGAATGTCGTTGCTAGGCGACGTGCACACAGAGCTAGTGAGTCGCACAGAGAATCGGATGTATCAGCAAAGCTCGTGCACATCCAGCGCCAGTTCTCAGCGTCAACGCCGCCTGGTCACCAACTGACACCTACATGTAAGTCAGTGACACCAAATGTGTCGAAAAAGTGGCTACGTAGTGCGCCTATCGCCGCGCGGCGCCGGCGCCGCGCGTCCACATAATTATCATCAATCATTATTATTTTTTCAGTACGATCGATCGAGCTATGCGCATGCGCGAGGTGGATTATAAAAAAATAATTTTCTTAAAAAAAAAATTATTTTCTTCTGGCTGTTTCTCTGCTCTATCGAAACATGGGTGGTGGCAAATGAGAGCCAGCCTCAGCCAGTTTATCGTAGATCAACATTGACAAGAACATTAAATTTGGTGCATATAATTTAATTCTCCCTGCCACGTCGGTATAGCTAGTGGTGGGTGCTTTGCCATTTGGTGTAAAATGTGTAAAATAAGCCCCTGAATGGACGAGGAGGGCAGTGAATTGCTTCCGCAGAGCCTTTGGACGACGTCAGGCCGTCTTGCCATCACTAAAGACAATAATGAAGAACAGTAGGTAAAAAAAAAAAAAAAAAAAAGCTGTTGACTCACGCATACACACATACACACACACACACAAGATAACAATGATACTCAGTACCTAGACTGCAGGAGGAAAAAAAAAAGAAAAAAAGAAAAAGGAATACACTCTGAGAGAACGAAAACATGGCTGCAATGCGATGCTACCTATCCAATTCTACCGTATGACACAGCCACTAGTTACAAATACGAAAACACGGCTTTCGCAGCACACAATGCAGTTGACAGATTAATTTTTCATCCACTAGCAATCCTTGAAGTGATATCCATAAACTTCAGAACATTGATGACCGAATATCCTAGTTTGTGATGCCATTTTACAAATTTGTTAAAAAAATGACACACCAATTATTTGAATAATGCAATGAATATAACTAAATGCGCACTCATATCACAACCATGGGGACGAATAATGTATTCCAGAACGTTTTCTTGCTACAATTATCAATGGAATTCGTGACTAAAGAGAATGATGAAACTACAATAGGATTTATACACTTGGAGTGAAACAGCGAGGATACAAGCATAGTAAGAAAAATAGCACAAACCTAGGAACAATTTGCACAGGTAATAAACTATAGGTGAGGTGAGAAATGATAGGAAATTCAGCAAGTGCAGTGTGACAATGGACATGCCTGTGCAAGTGTGCGTGAGTGCGAATTTACAGGAAGAGCGTAAGGGACCATCGCAAAAGTTCGCAGAAGCCCCTGAAACGAAGAGCATACGTTTGGGGGAGAGGGAGTCGGTGCGAAAATCGCAAACCAGGCTTCAATTCAAAAAAGTATTGACGACATAATTATAGGAGCTGTAGCCTGTAGGATTAGCATGCCATCACAGCCGGCGTAGGTCGCTTGAATGTGAAAGCAATATACACCAATCAACGTTCATTGTAATGCTCAAAGGATACAACTGCATAGCTCTAGCTGTTCTCGTTCTTAGATCACCCACTGCAAGGTGATATCATCGTTGCATTTATAAAGTGCTGTACATTGTTACACACTGATACAACAATGCTTGTGTAGTATATTATAATAATTATTATGTGTGAGCATCGAAGTGAAAAAATGAAGCCCATATTGTGACTGTCGTTTCGTTTGAGGGGGGAGGGAGGGGGGTCAGGCCCGAAACTCACGGTCTTCGTTTCGGGGGCTTCTGCGAACTTTTGCGATGGTCCCTAAAAGTGCGGTGACATTTTCGTTTTTGTTTACAAAGATTTGGATCACGAATGCGAATGTAGACCTGTACTACTATAAGACTGTACATGTACTAGTATTGGAGACGTGTACTTTTATTGTTTCTGGGAAGATTGATTGCCTGGGTTGGGTGGCAAACAACTCGTGATAATGATGCTGTAAGCTATTATAAGGCTGTAAATACACCCAACCATGGTAAGAATCAGTGTACAAAGACACAAATATGATGAACGGGTAAGAAAAACGAAGTAAGGTGGACCCTGGTATCTGTACCCCACTAATGCCCATCACATCATTCCGGCATGTACTATTATTAGAGACGTGTCCTTTTATATTTTCGATCCACACCCAGTCTCTTGATCATTAATTTTGATGATATCCAGATTGGACCAGAATGCAAGGCAGTCTACTGTCTTGATTCCTCTTGTCAGTCTCTTGTCCTTGTACTTGTAGTCTTGATCAGTGTACTCCTGCCTGGTAAGGGGTATGTTACTTTGACAACAAAGTTACATCATTCTCACGGACTTGACTCCTGTCTTGGTACTCAGTGAGAACAAGTTTACTCACATTCACAACACCAATCGCGTAGAATGGCCGGTTTAGGGACCATCGCAAAAGTTCGCAGAAGCCCCTGAAACGAAGAGCATACGTTTGGGGGGGGGAGGGAGTCGTGTCGAAAATCGCAAACCGGGCTTCAATTCAAAAAAGTATTGACGACATGTAGGAGCTGATATAGATTAGCATGCCATCACAGCCGGCGTAGATCGCTTGTCAGGACGCGTACGGCGTAGTCATGCGCGTGTCGCGTAGCTGGCTGCCTGTACACTGTGTGTAGTCTAGTACCAAGAGTCCATAAAACGCGTGGTTTATGGACTCTTGCCAGTACTAGTAGTAGCAGGGGTTCATAGGCCAATGATATGATTATGATAGGGTTTATGAACCCCTGCTGTGTAGTATAATTATTATAATAATTATTATGTGTGCAGCATCCAAGTGAAATAATGAAGCCCATATTGTGAATGTCGTTTCGTTTGAGGGGGGAGGGAGGAGGGGGTTTGAGGGGGTCAGGCCCGAAACTCACGGTCTTCGTTTCGGGGGCTTCTGCAAACTTTTGCGATGGTCCCTTAGTACTTTCAAGTTCACAAAGCCAATTGCATGAAACCATGAAGTAAGAACTCGGTTGAAAGCAAAAAGACAAACAAACTTTTGGCAAATACTGTACTTTGCTATTCCCTGTACTGTAAATATACAAATTTTCGGCAGCTATTTAATTTCGGCTATATTCGGCACCGACCCAAAGATGAAATTTTTCACAGCATCTGTCGCACTATACCATGCCCTCTACCCCACACCGAAAATAAATCGCCGCCCAAATGTCAAAAATCGTGAAGTGCCGAAAGTTTGCAGCGCCGAAATTTTGTATATTTACAGTACATTGTATACATGTATGTTTTTTTGCTTCTTCCCATGCACTCCACTCTACAGTAGAGTGGAGTGCATGGGAAGAAGCAAAAAAAGAAACAGGAGCCAATACATGAGAGCTCACTGGGAGCATACTAGTAATATTGACTCTTGGTTGCTGGGATGTCTTCGCAGACACAGCAAGGCACTACGGCGTACAGGCAAAATAATCGAAATGCACCGAGCTCAGGATACACATCAAGAAATGCACCGAGCTCAGGATACACATCAAGGGAGTACAAAAACAGGGTTTTTTTTAGTACTCCCTGCTCACACTCAGTTCACATTCAGATAAAATGGAAGAAGTTTCTGCACACTTCCAGTAGTACAGCATAGCATAACAGTTAGAACACAACACATTGGCTGTGAAACACACACACACACACTTTGAGAGAGGGTCGAACAGGATAGAACTGCAAGTGTCAGTGACAAAACCATAAGCGCTACTGAGCTGAACGTGGGCAGGGGTGACATAATAGCCTGAGGTCCATAGTGAACAACATTACCGCAGAGATGAGCTTGGAGCATAAATAACAGCATGAGGCGAAAGGGAACAAACACACACACACACACACACACACACACACACACACACACGCGCAGATAGGTCATCAAGATAGCGGTTCTCGTCCACAGCAAGCGCTGGTATCAACATGCCAGCGGATGGAGGCAAGGTTCGTGATCAGGCAGAGCAACGGGGATACAGGACTGTACTAACTACATGTAGATACCTGAACATTCACTACAGACAACAACACTGTAGTTTCAAACATAATGGTAAAGCTAGGAACAAGAAAGAGGGATGAGCTGATATGGCAGAGTAGGTCAGCGCAAACCCTGCCTACGCAGATAGGCAATAACTACTACGAAGATGAATGGGACACGCAAAACTAAGCTGGTGACACACACACACACAAATACACACACACACACACACACACGTAGATACACGAACAAGGGTTATCAACGGAAAGAAAAGGAATTTCATTAAAAAAACGTGCACAAGTGGGGATAAAATAAACTCGAAATCTGCTCATTGCTCTTTTCTTAGCCAAGTTCATTAAAAAAAATAGCCACGATGGTTCACAGATCCTCTTGCAACAAATGCAGGGCATTTCCCTCAGGAATGTTGAAATAGAACACGGGTGGAATAAGTTTTTAAGACTGGGGATTAAAAATAGGTCTGCGAGTACGACAAACACATGAACAGTTCACTAGCGTGAAGATATATCTGACACGGCCAAGTCAAGAGAGGAAGTGGACGAAGCACGGCATCATTGACATCATCGCCATCAGCACATACAAGTGACGAGGCACGGGGTAACCACCGCACTACTCTGCCCACGCCCCATGCATTCTATTCGGAATAGTGAAAAAGGCACCAGGGAAGCCACGATTCTGATGCACCAGTACTTAAAAAAGGAAGAAGAAGGAAATCCAACTTGTAACCAGCAGGTATGCTCTATCCACTGTGTCCCACTACACATCACATTGGAAACATTGCTGTTGTCCATCATCTCGAGCTACTGATTCGAATGGCAGCGCTGAAACTACCGCTATCAGTAGTTCTATTGCCGGTACTATTAACAATGCTACTACTAATACTTCTACCGTAAAACGTGTCGCACCCTGGAAGAAAAACGTGTTTGTAGGGACAAACTGGAGAGAAAGGGTGTGTGACGCTGCGTGAAGGTGGACCACTCTGCATGCGTAGCACAGAGACACGCTAGGGCTGAGCTAGGTCCTAGGAGGACGGACGTATCAGGGTGTGCTGGGAGGAAAGTCTGCGGAGGCAACCCTGACCAGTCATTTCAGCAGCAGCAGCAGCAGCAGCAACAGCAAGGTGCTGTTTACACGTTGAGCCATTCGTGGCGCGCAGCTTCAGCAGCTGACACACGGTGCTCTGGCCGCACATCCAGCATAGGCATGAGGAAGTCCTTCATCTTCCGCGCATCGGACGCGTTCCAGCTATATTTTCTCACAAGTACGTCATCAATTGGCCTGCATAGCAACACAGCGTAAGCACATAAGCACAACACTAAAATAATTGCTATTGGTTGGCTGTGACTTGATGCCGGTTTTTTTACGCTATGAGTTTTGCTATAATTGTCACTCTTAGTGTAAAAACTCACTAAACATTTTGGCTATACATTGATTGTTTTGGTTTATTCCTAATTTAGTGACGACTTTCCACTGACGAGTGTCACGCGAAAACGCTTTGAAAAATTGGTACATTTATCTTTTACATTGCTATGACAGCACAATTTGTTTTATTCATTGCCATTTTGCGCTTACTGTCTCCTCGACGATTGACTAAGATAATCGTTAACTCCAGCATTGAGGTAATGTTACATCAAGAGCGAATAAGCTCCCAAGAGTGTGCAACTCTGCTTATGGGGTCTCCGGCGGCGAAAACTCACATCACGTGTCTCAGGTATGCTTTGTACTACGTATAAACGAAGGATAGCGTGCGCGCAAATCCGAATATCTGCCATGGTCACGCTGGCGAGTTGCACACGCGCAATGAGTTTCTGCCAGGGAGTGCTTTTTTTTATTACTCCGTTGCTGGCTAAAAACGGGCTGGAACGTACAACTGGAAAACTACACTACATGATGTGAGTTTTCGCCACCGGCGAAACCATAGAAAGGGTATCAGGAGGTGCACACTCTTGGGAGCTTATATAAGTTATAATTATACTCTTGGTTACATGTATTTAATGTTATGACCCTAGAGTAGGCTGCGTCCTGACTACACATAATGCAGCATTCAGTCATTCAGTCAGGCACTGATCAAAACCCACAAAGCAACCCACCAACTCGGGGTACACAAACTGAGATGATCATGGCAAAACAATTCACGATTCGCTTGAGACTCAGTTTGACTGAGTTTTCAGCATCCGTAGCAACACCAAAACCCTGCAAAGACCAAAGGCGCAGATGCAGCTCCTAAAGCGATGGGAGGTGAGTAGATCAGCCCGCCAGCAAAGTGGTCAGAGACCGAAAATCCCAGTTGCCGCATCCATGTTTCCCTCATGCCAGGCCACGGGCTCCCAATTAACTGATGACGGCAACACTATGTGGGCAAAACCCATAAACAGAACTAACCAGTACCGGAGGTCTGCTTCGCGGATGTGTCGAAGATGACCTGAGCAAATCAGAAACGGACAAGTACAAGTAAAACATGACAAGAGACCGCAGCATTGAAACTTCATAGCACCATAGAGTACTCAAGCCTGACTGAAGTGCACAATATCCTCAATATAACATGCTGTAAATTTCCTTTTCACTCTGTCAACCCTCTCAATCGTGCGAAATGACAGCTTTCTGGCATTCAAGTTGATAGATTGGCCAATCCAGTTACAAGTTTAAAAGTGGAATAGACTTGCTAGGAAAGAAAAGGACCAAGGAACTGCAAGTTACGCTATACTGTCCACTAACACCCGGTTACTGAACAATCAGCTCATGTGATAACATTGCACGACACTGACCGACGGTACTGACGTTCTACATCTACTTGAAGTAACATTATAAAATTATGGCGTAACTTGTAGTTCCTTGGTCATTTTCTTTTCTATAATTTATCCTTGGCTTTCCATCTGAGTCCAGACTTGCTAGGGCGTGACATTATGAGTTCCTAATGTTCTATGCCATGGGGGGGCAGACAAGATTCTTCAATCGCAGCGGAGCGGCTGCTTTGAATTATAGTTTGCTTATTCTGTACAATGGTTATACTCGTATCATCATTATCCGCCATTCTTTGGTGTTGTGTGAGACTTGGCTTGTACTTGTCTCCGTCACATCACATCACATCACGCCTCTCTCTCTCTCTCTCTCTCTCTCTCTCTCTCTCTCTCTCTCTCTCTCTCTCTCTCTCTCCCCCGGAAGTTTTCCTTCTCTTCAGCCTTCCAAGTAGGAAGGGTTGGAGAGGTGTTCGGGCTAGGCATCACGTCGTTGAATGCCACAGTACATGTACTCCTGGTCAATTTGCGCCCAATTGTCGCACTCTCCGACTGTTCATTATCTGGTTTAATCGGTATGCGTGTGTGGATATAATCATGTCTAACATTTGCTGGTTCACAGTACAGTAGGGCCAGCACAGCCGCAGTAAGCCCATTGCGCATTGCCAAATACGGAAGGTATGAGTAATGCATGTGAGTACGCTGGGATCTGCAATGCACAGTTCAACACCCCCAGACGACCATGCCCAGGTGGCTGTGTGGAGTGTTGATGGTGCAAATTACGTCATTGCGCAATGGGTGTGTTGCCATCAGCTCTTACCTGAGCCGTCAAAGATGTCAGCAGCGTACTGGCCGGTCTTGGACATCTCCGCTAGATGCCTCTTGGCCGGATCGCCGAGAAGTTCAATGATATTCGCAATGTGATCTGGGAAACACACAGAAGAAGAGTTTTTTTTGGCAAAGCAGGAAATGGTGCTGAGTACCCTTTTCTCAGTTGTCTACCACCGTTGCACCTGAAGTGTCAAGAGCACTTGTACATAAACCAGAGTGCGCAGCTCCGGGAAAAAACACCCCACGGCGAAGTATTTGTTCGGATCATAGTGACTCACATTTGCTGCATCGCATACCGGTTTACACTGTCACTTTACCGTATCACCAAGGTAGTTCCTGCTGCGCATTGCTGCTTGTCGTACAAGTGGTGAAAGACGCACTCAATTTCACATTATCACCGGAGCATTGAACCTATGGTATGGCGGGTTATCTATGATTCACAATGACCTAAACAAAACTACGCCGCAGGCGTGGCTTTACGCAGCATAGATGCGGAGCTGCACACTCTAGTCTATGCACTCTTGACATCATACAAGCTCCAGGATATTATAAGCCCATGGCCTTGTCTGATTCAAAGGGCCATCGGACGGGGCTGTACGCAGGCATGGGCTTATATGGCCGGGGGCTTGTACAGTCGTCCCTCTCTAATCCGGCACTTGTTTATCCGCAACCCTTGCCAACCGGCGCACTTTCTGACAAAACCGATTTTTTCGTTCAATTCCTACATCCTAATCCGGCACTTGAATTCCACCTCCGGCAGTGACTTTTTGAAACGAATCGCTTAAACTGCACGTAGTTTGATTTCATAATCCGGCAGTCGTAAATCGCGTACCGTACAGGTGCACTCCTTGCCAGGCTATACCGCTAGGCTTGTCCAGGAGACAACGGCAGTCAACCATACTTTCTTATTTTTATTTAGCAAGGAGTAGTGTCCTGCCAATTTTCAGGTGTGTGTGTGTGTGTGTGTGCAAGAGTACATGTGAACATGTTCTCTGTTTTACTTTATCACTTTATCACTGTGTATATTCCCGGAGAACAATTGAGAATATAAAGCCGTGCACCAAATACTTGGGTGACTCGACACGAAAAACCCTGCGTTTTGACGTACATATGATACATGCATGCAATTGGGTAGGGCCGGGTCAGAGGGCAGGATTTCTTAATCCAGCACCCTCGTTAATCCAGCAGAAAACGCCGTAGCAAAAGGTGCCGGACTAGAGAGGGACGACTGTACGCTCATAGAGATACATGCACACAGTTATACACCAAGAAAGACACAGCGAGTGCTGTTAATAGAGAGGTTCCGCATAACGTAATTACGTTAGTAAAATACGTAGTCGATCTACGGAAAGTCTTACGTAAACCAGGTAAACTGCATACGCATCTGGGTTCTGCCATACGGAGTTTTCAAATCACGCAGCTGCCCTTGGCAACTCCGAACGCGGCAGTGTAAGACCAGATCGACCTGGGGAGAGAGTCATAAATTTGTACCCCAATCCACTTACGGACCAGCTACGTTATCAGAGCCCTATCTACGTACTCTCCGTAGACAACTTTCCGTAAGTGGAGTGCAAACTCGCGAATTCACGGGTTTTTCCCGCCCACTAACGTAAAGTTGCTCAACTTTACGTAGTGCGGAACCTCTCTAATACATCTGCAATTTCAGCCAACAAAGAAGGAAATGAACTAAAAACATTGAAGTGAGCCTCATGGGCGTGCACGCCTAGTGTGTGTACCTGCCCTGTACGTAGGCATTATGTGCAGGCATGGGCTTAGACGCCGGCCTCTACAGTGTGCATGCCAGATGTAGCTACTTTCCATAGCTCTTCTTCCGGTGGACAGACAAATCCTAGCGTATTACGCTAATGTGCCGGCAAGGATTCAGTGTACATCATGATGATGTCAGAGTGTCGTAGCGCAAAGGGAGAAAACACGTGACGGTGGAGCACGGAACGGTGTAGCCCATGGGATAGGGCTGATTCATGCCTACATTCCATGAGTTGGGACAAGGTGATGGGGGTACGGTGATTCTAAGCCTTATGGCGAGCTAAACGCCACTTGCAAGGACAACACAGAAATACATTACAGCCTGTAGCCCGCAAAATGTACCTTCATCGCGGCTGTAAGTCTCGCTGGAATGCGGCTCAAACAGGTAGTCGCCAGTGGCCAGTTCAAACGTCTTGAAGCACACACCAACACAGCACCCGCCCACACAGCACACACCCACAGAGCACCCATCCACATAGACATAGACGCCCACATGAACGCCCACGGCCAACGAGATATGCACACACAGATAGACACAGGATTAGATATAACTTATAACTGTGCAAGTAGATAATGCCACAGAGTTCATGGGGAGATACATGATACAAGGGGAGATATATGTATCACCTGGACATATTCTATCACTTAAAATAAGCGGCAAGAACGTAGCATACTGGCTAGAGAAAATGTCTCTCCGTACAATGCCACGTCTGGCAAACCTCTTCCAGTGCACCCGAGTATGTCATAACGTGTGATTGAGACCAGGTGTGTGTACTCACCATGCAAGCCACACTCCACACGTCTGCGGTTGTGCCATAGCCAGTGCCGAGCAAGACCTCGGGACATCGGTACTGTCTCGTCTGAATGCCATCGCTGAAGTGCTCATGCTGCAGCCAAACATACACAGATACACGTGAAGAGCATAGCAGTCGGAACAATTCTAACACAGGCCTGTCGGATTTCATTTGTCAACATTGTACTTCAAATCTACTTGGACAAACAGAGCAGCAACTACTGGCAACGGAGAGAGAGAAGTCACTTTTTGTCAGTGTAAGAGTTGAGTAAATACTTACTTACTAAATACAATGCAGACAGTACATACACTGTAGACCGTACATACACTGTAGACAGTGCATACACTGCAGACAGTACATACACTGTAGACAGTACATACACTGCAGACAGTACATACACTGTAGACAGTACATACACTGTAGACAGTACATACACTGCAGACAGTACATACACTGTAGACAGTACATACACTGCAGACAGTACATACACTGCAGACAGTGCATACACTGTAGACAGTACATACACTGTAGACAGTGCATACACTGTAGACAGTACATACACTGCAGACAGTACATACACTGCAGACAGTACATACACTGCAGACAGTGCATACACTGTAGACAGTGCATACACTGTAGACAGTGCATACACTGTAGACAGTACATACACTGTAGACAAACTGAGGGACCTAGCGCTGCCGCAGCTTCAGCATGCCTACGGGCAGTGCAATGTCAGAACAAACAATATAGCACAGGCAGCGCGCCACAGGCTGACAACGAGTATGGAATGATACCGTGCCGATAAAACTCACAAATCATTCAACTTACCACCCAGCACGCATTCCCCAAATCCGCAATCTTCACCGTTAGGTTATCAAAGTTGTCAAGGTACGACTCCATTGCAGCTGCACGAAAAGAGTACCCATTAGCGTTCGCGCACATGTACATACAAGTCAAAACACAATGTGAGAACGAGGAAGAGCCGCAACAGACAAAGACACTACACAACACCGGCTCACTTCACCACATTACGTGCTCTTGGCTGATCTACAAGTCTTGCACGGCATGTCAACTCAATAGAGAGATCCAGAAAAGTTGTGGCAAGCAAAATCTCACACTTGCCATAGGGGACAGCGCCATAAATGGACATCAATGATGTAATGCACTGTATCTAATTTGTACATCAGAGCTGTACATGTTCGCGTCCCAAAGAGTCGAAAGGTCACAGCGTGGATACACACAGTTCACAGATTACGTCCACATAAGGAGTATTGGCATCCAGTGCCCATTCATATTTTGTGAGCACCTTTGAATCTTTCAGGTAAACCTTGACCGCGATGAGTACGAGTTCTGTCAGAGACAGATCAAAGGTGTACGTAGCACATATATTACATACGCAGAGCTGCACACTGCATGGCGCAGTCTCCGATGCCAAGTGTCAGATTTCGCTCGCCAAAACCGTAGCTTGGAAGGTGGATAGAGAAGGATTTGCTGGCTCGTTATCACATCTCGAGTTCGACCCAGATGACCGAGGCTACAATGCCTTCGACGAGTTCATCTGGAGTCGACTTGTGATGTACTCGTTCTGCACTCGAATATATAAGTTGCTAAACCACTCTACCTGCACTAATTCTATGCCACTGATGTTTAAGTCTAGCGAGCATTGGCCAAATTAAAATCAACTTTCTGATTTCAAACCTTACAGGAGCCACCTACCAGCAGACCAATGAAACCAGTGGAGAAACTAGAAACTGAACAACAACAACAGAACAGGAGCTATCCCTCACCGGAGCTGGGTTTTGGTGTTGCGCTGCTGCTTCTATTGTTACCGTCAGTGCCATTGGCCTTTCCTAGCGGCGGCGAGGAGGCATCGCCAGTTGAGGCAGTCACCCTCACACCAAACGGAGATGCAATATCTGCCGAGAAACCAGAGAAAACGACATGCAGCACGTAGCATAGCGAAAATAGAATAAAATATCCAATACGAAAGGAGTCCCGATCCCATCAGGGTGCACTGGCCAGCTGTGCAGTAGGCTGCCGTGCTGCTGCTGCTGTGTTCAACCCTGTGCACTTTGTCTGGGTAGTGAGCGGAACTCAGCTCAGGCTTACACATGACAATATTGGGCACTACCCCCCCCCCCCCCCTCCCTCAAAGAAAGTGAGATGGGCAATCCTGACCCTACTCCTGCCCATCTCCTTACAATTGCACAAAAAGCAAGCACCCAAAGAAAACAGTGTGTGCACTGCAGGGTATCTTCGCTTCACTATGTTGACTAGCTGCAGTAGCATGATGTCATCATCCCCAGCTTACCATTGGCATGTGACAGGCTAGAGCTATATCCACTGCTACAGCTGCCGCTCGAACCGATCGGACAATTGTTCGACAGTAGAAAGGGTGACGCACACAAATCCTCATTATCCGCTGGAAGACTCTCCACAGTCGAATGAAAGCTGTCATCGACAGCTATACACACGTATACACATACACAGACACACGCACACAATCATAATTATACATATACGCACCGAGACACGCACACAGACACGCACCGAGACACATATACACATACGCACCCAGACACCCACCCAGACATACACCCATCCACACACACACGCACACACACAAATACACACACCACAAAGCAGAACAGTAAGTGAACTGAGTCAGGAGGAAAGCACAGGAGCACATGCTACCAGGAGAATGCACCTCAAATGGTTTTCTGTCACATTGAAATTCCTGGATTACATCAGATTAACGAAGTGGTACGTACAGGCAGGTCTCCGCTGCAAAACTGCACCCGAGTGATATATACCGTATTTTACCGGTTGTAAGTCGACCCCGGTTATAGGTTGACCCCGTATCCGGAGGTCTCAATTCTGCGTTTTAAAGTTTTCACCCAACGAAGCACCACTCCCTGCTACTAACACAACAACAAATCATGTAAGCATTCCTTAGTGGAGGGTATAACGTCCCAATCCATGAAAAAGGCCAATAAACTGGCAAAAATGTGTACACATGGTGCACTCGTGCATGCAGTGGCGGTCGTTTTCTGTATGGTACTGATAGTTCCCAGTTATAAGTCGAATCCCGGTTGTAAGTCGACCCCCACTCTTTCTCCTTCTATTTTTAGTTGTAAAAGGTCGACTTACAACCGGAAAAATACGGTATGCACTTTGCCTCTTTTAAATTACCTGCATCAACATGATACAATGGCAGAATTTCACCATAATAGACAGCCATGCAGAAAAGTCAGAATCTGCACACTCTTGGCTTCATGTAGTCTTGGCAAGCACTGTAACACTCGCAAATTGGACAAGACAAGAGCGGTGCAGGTGTTGCTGCTGCTGATGATGATGTAGCCTATGGGCAATCAGAATACCGGTGCTGGTAACGAACTCAAACAACTTACAAAACAAATTGCAAGACGTAATGCAGAAGAACACCAGATTGGGTCTGAGACATGCGGTGCTCGTGCAGTGAGCCACCTTACGCTGCGTGACCCTAGTTACTAGCAAGCACACACACGGAAAACTTACAATCGCTGCACATATCCATAGTGCAACCATAACTAGACGTGGAGGAGACTTGAGAGGAGCACTCTCCCACACTCATTAGACGGCTAGTGTGTTCAGACGACGAGACTGGAGTGGCAACAGCGGCAAGAACTGGCAATGCTTCCCTTTGCCGTGTCACTGCCGCCGACGCACTGCCATTGCGGGGGGACGCAACACTCGCAGATGATCTGCTGGGATCAGACGGCGAGGTTTGAGCCGCAACACCACAATGCGCAGCGCTGTCAGCAGCGATGGTCACTGCCTCGCTGATTTCTTCCGACACCGACAACGCCTTGCCACTCGGCGAGCCCATGCCCTGCAGGCGTGTTTCCAGGTCAGTCTGCTGCAGTTGCAAGCGCACCAGCTCGTCAGAGACATCGGATACCTGAATATACCGGCAGCAATAACAACATACAGGGAATAGCAAGCAAAACACAAGTCTCAATATAAACGCCCTACCATCAGGGTACTCAAACGTGGAGACCTCACCTCCATCCAGTACTGCCGTCACACAAAATGCAACGCACAGGTGCAGCGAGCACCCGCAGTGATCGTTTTGTACCAAAAAACAAAAATCGCTTTGTAGCCGCGTTTTCAAAAAATGAGTAGGGTGCCGCATCAGAGTCGCTCCCCCCCCCCCCCCCCCCCCACCTGGCTAGAAACACAGTTCTAAAGCCTCATGAGGAAAGAAGCGAGAGAAGTACAGCAAAATGCACAGGAGAGAGAGAGAGAGAGAGAGAGAGAGAGAGAGAGAGAGAGAGAGAGAGAGCAGGAGGGGATTGTTTCATGAAGATATTTCAAAGAAGTATGTTCTGAGGGTGTTAGCAGAAGTTACTAGTATTGTTAGAACTGACTAAGAGATACCTATGTGCCCCCCCCCCCCCCCCCCCCCCCCCCCCAAAGCTCTGTATCTTGTCCATCCCACGGTGGATACCAAAATTCAAGCTTACCTCTGCTTTTGTCAGCTGTCCCGTTGAGAGGCGATGATGCAGGCGCCGCTGTTCAGCAATGTTCTGGCACACGACCTGGCGTAGCTGATCAGACGTTGGTGCTAACCGCACCAGGTGAATCTGAATACCACCAGTAGCACCATCACCACCATCATCACCACCACCAACAGGCATCGCAAGAGAAAGAGCAAAAGATATGTTAAACACCAAGCACTGTATGCCACACAAAGGATAGCCAACGGCCTTATGGAGCCAGCACGTACCGCTGTGCCGTGGAGCACAATGCACAGTTTCCTTACGGCTTGGGCACATGTCAAGAATAATTCACTTCTCGGTCAGGCAAGAGCACTGTTGGCTCAAGCACCAAACGTGGCATCATTACAGTGTAGTGAAACGCCCACGTCTACCGTGCCGCTTATAGGCGATTCAGACTACGGCCAACTGTGACCACGTTTCACGCCTCAGACGTATTTGATCAGGGATTGTGCATGAAATTTAGAAACACGACTTCATCACCATGGAAATTTAAGTTCACACGTGATTTTTTCGTAGTCTGAATCGCCCACAAGAGTAAAGATTCCTCGCTAGCACCCTGATCTAGCGGCACAGCATGTGTTGTTAGAAAATAGAATAGCAAAAGTTGTCAGTGAGCTGCGGCGGAGAATACCAGCTGGCCAGCAGCAAAACATGCCAACTTCTTTGGTTGTTTGCCGAGCGCAAGAGCACACTGTCCTGTGTGGTTTCACAAGCACCGGCAAACCCATGGCCTGACTTCCAATTTCTCCGGAACAGTCAAATGTGTGCTTAGCCAGGGGTCTTCCTCTACAGGTTGGAATGCAAGGCGGTAGAAAACTGGAAACACAAACTGTCCCACAGACTCTGTGTGCTCAATGGCCAGTGTGCACTGCTTGGCGTGGCAATTCACCATACAGTTTAAAGCACTCACCGCACAGCCCGGTGCAGCCGTGTCTCTCGTGTCCATAACAGACTGCGGCTGCTTCTTCGGCGATTGCGGCGGAGGGACCTTCGGGTGCCGTTTCTTCAGCGCCTGTGATCAAACGGGACACGGATGGACGGCAAACACATATGCAAGAAAAGAGCCAGTTAAAACACCAATAGGGAGAGGTTCTGCATATCAAACATAGCGAAATCGCATAAGAACAGGTACCTGGGTTCGAGTCTTCCGTTTCGCGTGTTTCTACTTTTGGGGGTTCAGATTTTTACTTGGAGATGAGGATCTCTACATTTCATTCGTAAAAAAAAAGATGATATTCTCGACTCTGGCCACAAACTGGTCAAACTTTGAGTTTCTCCAAAAATAAAATTTTGCATCCCCTTTGAAAAGCTCTTCCAATTATGTTTCTGAAGTCTATTTCTCCAAAAAGCAAGCCACAACAAGAACAGGATTTCGGCAGGGTCTTGCCCCAAAAGCACTGGATTGGGAAAAACATGAGAATCCAGGCACTCGAAACTTTTCTAACTTTCAATCGATCATAACTCAGTCATTTCTGGGTTATTTGAACGTATTTCCCCAACCTAAAAGATGTAGGTCGAAGAGAAAACTACCAGCCGTCCATTGAAACAATCGCGGAAGTGCTCTGATGTGCGGTTCCAGAGTTACGAAGCTCGAAAATTGAGACATGGCAAATGTTGCTCGGCAGCCGCGTGCGCAGATTGGAATGAGGGATTTCCCATCTTTCTGGGGATGCAGTGACGTGGAAGCGCGTTCAAAACGGCAAAAAGACTCGTGGCAGTTTGAAAAAATTCGAAGTTGATACGAGCAGGGAGAGCAAAATGGCTGACACAAGAGGACTTTGTCGGAATACTGGCGTTGCAACTAAGACGCTGGGCTGTATCGCTGGTATTTTGCCATTCGTGGTGGCAAGTGTGTGCTCACTGCTCAGTGTGTTCCTCTTGCGACGACGGATCTGCTGCGCAATAATCTGGGGTAGGGTACAGGTAAACTACCAAATTTGGAACGGGAAATTCTTACTGCACATTGCACGTGATTTCTTTGCGTCAACGTACACCAAAACATGTCTTTACATCAAGAGAAACCTAAACACACACGGGTGCTCAAAGTCTTCACATTGCGTTCCCGTCACATTTAGCAGAACTGCACTAGGTCGGCAGTGTTTCTCAGCTGTAATGCTTTCATCTTGTTTGATGCATCCACCCAGCAACACCACCCCCATCACCACCACCACCGCCAGCATACAATGTATTCGACAACACAACACAACGATATAATACATGCTTACTGTTCGCTTCATGTCCAAATAAGTAACGGTACTCACTGCAACAAAGTGTAACAAGAGAGGACACAATACGGGCTCGTCACCAAGTGGTGGAGGTGTAATGGGGTATTCACACGACAGGCAAATCCACGTGCACCGGAAAGTTGAAGGGAGTGACACACGAGAAAAGTGACTGTGTGGATTCACACAGCTGCACTTGACGACAGGCACGTTTGCATTTTTGAATGCTTCACTGACCAGTAGCCATGGGTATTTCAAATTTTCAAAACACGCATACAATAATTATCACAGAGGGTGTGCGCCTTAACCTGCAATAGTGCTCAAATGCCCGGAATGGGCAGAGCGTAGTAGCTCTTGCGTACAATATTTATCATGTTCTAAAGAGCCGCGTAAAAAATCAAGTCTTGTTTCGCGCTTTTTGGTGTAAATGTACTCGTGCACGCCACGATTATCGTGAAAGTGGGCCCCCAGCTTGCTTGCACTTTTCAGCCACTTTTCTCGTTCACAGGTAAAATACCATAGCAACTTTCCGGTGCACGTGGATTTGCCTGTCGTGTGAATACCCCATAACATTGCAAAGTGATCCACGCTGTGTAACAAAACAATACATTATCCCAGCCGGCACACTGCAATAAAGTGGGAACTATTGTGCAGCCGGTTCTATGGACCGATTGCCATTTGTACAGATCCACGAAATCCCGTAGACCCAGTAGGGTGTTGAATGTGCAGGACCCTATTGTGTTTTCTGCTATTTCCACTAAGAAATGGGGCCTGAAGGCATTTCATACGAAAACCTTTTTCTGACAAAGATCTAGCTAGTCATTAGTTCTAACCAAAGTGAAGAAGCTGGAAAGGCGATTGCTGGTCATTGAATTATGACGCTAAAAAGGTCAAATGCGCATGCATAGCACACAATGAACACCCTACCGGGTCTACGGGATTTCGTGGATCTGTACAAATGGCAATCGGTCTATTGACAGCTGATATCGTGAAGCTAAAGGCCGATTCACAATAGGGCTTGAAAATGATGACGTCAAAATGGCCAGGGAGTAGTAAGTTGACATCAGATTTGTATTTTGGATCCACTAAGGTGTGACTTTGCTATTGCCTCAGTATGTGGATGCAGAGCAACCTTACTCATGTCGCATGGAGGTGTGACTTTTACTTCGCCACCAGTTGTCACCCCGCCCCCAGTAGCCAAATCAGTCAGTTTCATTGGCTACATCACCTTGCTGTGAGTAAGACCGCTTGAAATGTGCTTGAATTTTTGAAATTGTTGCTATGCTGTGACGTAGCACTTTCAAGCCCTATACAAATTCTTGCAACGCGACATGCGACTTGCGACACCTGTGACGAGCTGCGGCAGCGACACACGGTTCACACTGTTTTTCATGTTTGCGACATCCTCATGCACTACGAGTATTGTAGTATAGTACAGTATAGTAGTACTATGCACGTGCACCCAGGGTCGGAACTGTACTCCATTTGTGTATGCTGCGTGTCGCATGTCTCAAAAGTTGAACTGTCGACATGTCTTCGACTTCTGCGACAGGTGCCTTGCGACAGGCAGTTTCTTGTCGCAACTGTCGCAAATCGCGTCGCAGAAAGTTGTATTTGAGTTGTATTGTGAATCGGCCAACTGGTCAGGCCCGTCGCACTGACTTTGGAGGTGGGGCGGCCATGGAAGGGGATCTGGGGGTCCTCCCAAGGAAATGTTTTTCACAAATTGAAGCAATTGCAAGCATTTCCGGGCATTTGGTGCCATTTCAGTGTAACTGCAATGAAAAACTTTTTTGATTTGGCAACCACGATCGGCCTCGGGAACAAGGATTCTTCATCACATTCTCGGCCACGTTTGCGCTGAGCTGCGATCATCGCGCTTTGTTGCAGTGTGCTCCAAAAAAATGGCCGAAAAAGTGGGGCGGCCCCGGCTGTTACGGCCTTGCTGGTGTCATTGAGAAAATGTCAAACCTAGTACACGTGAAGTTTGCCCCGGGACAGGCGCATACACCCCACCCACCCCCGTACAAACGTACACACATGTCTAAACATTGCCAAACACACACACATTCCCGAACAACCTCCCCCCCCCCCACACACACACACAGACAACATACCAGCACCACAGCTATCCGTTGGCAAGGCAGCTAGTCGTCGCACATGCTCATCGTTGACGCAGACAAGAACATTTTCCGGCTTGATGTCAGTGTGGATGATCTGGCACTGGCGATGCAGACAGTCCAAACCCAGCAGAACCTGCAGATGGAGTAAAGCAACACACCCACACGCACACACATACACCCACACACATACACACATACGCCCACACACATACACACACACACAGAGCTGCAAGTGATGATGGGGTTGGATGAAAAAGAGACGGCAGCAACAACAACAACAACAACAACAACAACAACAACAACAACAACAACAACAACAACTCTTAGTGGCGATGGTGCCATCGTGAGAATAAAGAATTCAATTCAAAATCGAAACAGAAGCAGCAGCAACAGCAACAACAGCAGTGGCGGCGGCAGCAGCAGCAGTGTAGGTACAGTACACACGCGGAGGAAAACAAAGCACATGACATGACATGCATGAACCTGAGTACTGGAGAGTACTGGAGTAAGTGCACTAACTACTCACCTGCTTGATGATGCGCTTGACACACACCAGATTGATACCTTCATAATTGTTACGCACAATCAACTTGAGTAGATTATGCCCAAGAACTTCAAACACCATGCAGACATCTGAAAGCAGGAGTCAGCTCATAGTCAAGGAAACTAATTAACAACCTTCCATCTCTCCCTGCCTCCTCCTCCCCCCCCCCCCCCCCCCACACACACACACACCACATGCACAAATGAGGAAACGGCGCAGAGGTGTAGATACGAAGGCCATTGGGGCCAGGGATGTTGAAGTGATCATATATCTGCAGCACATAGTTCTTTCCTTCATTGCCAGACTCACACTTCGACACCTGCAGTACACACAGCCCAGAAAAGTAGATAGTACAGGAGAGAAATGAATACATGTACTGGCATTAGGACTAGACATGTGGGCCCCGGCAGTTATGCAAATACTGTCACCAGAAATCTGATCACACGCCTACTAAACCTGTACGGAAAAAAGAGAACAAAAGAAAAGGTGTGCACAGCTCTACAACTCTCCTATGCATACCTGTACTGTATCTTCTACTCAGCAAAGGTCACATGTTGACTACAGTCCATTCATTGGAAACTGGCACCCTAACTTTTTGGTGTCTCCCGCACATAGTTGTAGATATCGTGAAAACAACAATATACCCTGCATTGTGTGACCCGTGCAATTACTCCTTGCCACATTTGAGGCCAGAAAAGTCCAAGAACAGGGAAATAGAAATTCAGCCAGGTTTTACAAAATTAGGACAGGTATGCCATGGCAAAATGTATGGAGAAGTAGACTGACTGCACATGCATGGCTATTGCATGCCGAGCAGATGTACGGGTCGGCACGGGGTATCCCAAACCCAGATTTTTCAGATTTAAAGTGGGTTTTTGATCCTCAATTCAGCCCAAATCGGACTTTCAAAAGCCAGCGGGACTGTTTCCGATGAATGGACTGTAGAATGTCATCTACTAAGTCCTTCAAGTGCATTGCAGTGTAGACCAAGGTCTATTGCTAGTTAGAAATGGGCATCTAGTGGGCGCAATACTGTGAATCACTGTAGCAGCAGCAGCAGCAGCAGCAGCCTGTACACACACCACCAGTAGACCGGTACTAGCATGCATGGCAAGATAGCAATGTGTCCACTCGTGACCCTGCTGCACAACACTGCAAGGTCCCCGCAGGATAACGTGATTGCGAGGACACGTAATGTTTTTGCATAAACCCGCGTAATCCATGGGAATGTACAAGAAATTAGTACATGATGGTATAAACATTGTACATGTACATGTACTACAAAATTGTACGTTCCCATGAGTTAGTACGACAAGGTTGTATAAGTGTGTGAGACTGTACACTAAAGTTGTACCAATGGCACACAACCCTTGACCAATAACTGCATTACATGGCATAATTCTCGCATAATTGCCGCATAATTATACGCATATTTCTAGGAATTGTCCGCGGTATTCTGTGGAGACAGGCTGCAGCCAGACAAGACCGCAGTACCTCATACAGGGCGATGTACATGCAAAGGCGGCAGTGAACAGGCATTGCAAAAGCAAGCACACATACCAGAGCCACATCATTCAGGCTTTGGTCAGCCGAATGTCAAGGCAATGTGACAGTTGCACCACATGCATGCTTGAGTACACGTAAGTACGGGGAGCACCAACCTTTTCTAACAGTTTGATCTCATCAAGGGCCGTCTCAGTGTAGTGCCTGGAGCTCTTTACTACCTTCAGTGCTACATGACGCTTACACCTACAGAAGCAGCAGCAGGAACAGCAGCGGCAGCAGCAGCAACAGTAGCGGCAGCAGCAGTAACAGCAGCGGCAGCACCAGTAACAGCAGCAGTAGCATGTACATCAAACCAAGAATGCAAGTCATATCGTGTCTTTGCATTAATATGTGTATCCAGTTTTTCCTGCTATAAGGCCAAGTAAAAAAAATCCTAGTTTATCGTCCCCGCCCGCCCCATTTTTCGAGGCCGCCCGGAATTTATTTTTATTTTTTAAATCTAGAATTTTGCCAAAAAGCTTGATTTTTTACGTCGGCTAAGGCTTGAAAACACAGCTTCGTCTTTCTGCCGAAAGTCCGTCTTCATCCTGTCGAGACCTCGACAGTTTTCCGTTCTTTCCGTAGTTGCGACTTTGTTGAGAAGCGACATGCCGTTTGTTTTGCTGCAAATCCGTCGCGGGTTGAAAGTTCTGAAGTCCTGGTATGGCTGTGTTGTCTCTGCGTCTTCAACTCTCTCGGACATTTTGTGTCATTGTTTACCAAGAACTATACTAGTCTGTAGCACATCAAAAAATAAAAAATAAAAATAAAATCCGCCCTCCCTCCCCGATTTTTGTGAAAAAAAGGACGATAAACTGGGATTTTATTTTACTTGGCCTAAAAGATTGGAGAGAATGTGTACACGTATGTGTATACATTTCTCGTTTACCGAATTTCTCGTTTACCGACAGATGCGTTAATACTGTTACATCTATACAGTTATGTAACAGCATCATAACAATCACGGCCAAAGCAAGACCTCCACGTCTTAGCTTAGTACCCACAGCCTACAGCAAACTTGCATCAAACAACCAGCACAATTCGGGACCAACTGCCGTATGAGGCCAGTCGTCCCACACACCAGGCCATGCTTCACAACACACCCATGAAAACCTGCGATTGCAGGCCCTCCGTTCAAAAAAAGACTGCTTTCTTTGCACCACGACCATGAGGTGGTCGCTATGCACAACGCTCACTGTATAACCAGGTTCCTATGCTGACTGGGAGTGTGAAGTAGCTCTGCAAACAACACTAAACTCAACACCCCAGCAGGAGCTTGAAGTAAGTAGGTGTTGTCATGAACAAGTCTGAAAACACTGTGTAGAGCCAGAGATGAATACAACGTATAACACCATGTGGGTTACGTGAGAAACTTGCACTTTTTTTTAGATGTTCTGGGCAGAGCACTCATTGAACACCTGCTCAACCTCCACTGGAGAGCTCTGAAGGAGGGGAACAGCTGACTGTAGGCTGGCAATAACTATCAGTATCGTCAAAGGAAGTTTTCTCACTATCATGGTTGTGGTCTATGCAAGTTGTTTGGGTTAGCCAAGCGTGTAATGTGGCAGTAATGAAGGTCTGTTGTTTTTTTGAGAAAGCACAAGTTTTCTCAACCCGTGCTAGGGGTCATTGCACACTCATGCTATGCACTGCATATGCGGTGATGTTTTCTACACTACGTCATTGAACACTAATAAATTGCATGTGGTGATATTTTTTGGTTGTATTTGCACACTTGAAGGGAGGAACACGAAGCCAGAAGGCCAGTGGGTTAAGGCCACAACATTCCTACAGCAGTTTGTAGGTGTGCAAATGTATGGTATTTAATTGAAGCACAGACACTACCTGAATTCATCCTAATTCTTACTTGACATCCCAAGCCAACCAAACTGTCGAGAAATGACCCCAGCCAAGCTTGCGAATAATGATGTATCTGTCGTTATACAAGTCACCAATTCGAACTGCGTGGTATCCACCTGAGCCGAGTCACACACACGGACACAAACACAAAGAAGGAAAAAGCCAAGCAAGGACCATTCAATTGGTGACACTGACAGCTGGTCCGATGACCTAATGCTCGGACACCACACGACACGATTCCACTGACCCAATAAACTTTTTTAAACACAACTAAGTCGTGTTGAAAATTAGCTCTCACCCTTGCAGTAATCATTGGCATCCTCCTGCTCCTCTTCCTCTTCGCGTGGCATGCTTACACAGTCAGAAGACGATGGTACTCTGTGGAATGATTCAAAACAAGACATCTCTCAAAGTGAGTCCAAAGAAAAATGCCACAGGGGGTCAGCCTGCGCAGCTCACGATTTCTTCGGCTCAGGCTTCATGGCGAATACTCGAAATCCATGCACTGCCCAAACAGTGAAGAAACAATAGGATCTACCTTGGTTTGACAGAAACTAACTACCGAGTGCTGTTGTTCATCCTACACAGAACAACCTAGATGAATCACCCTGGCCATGGCCATGTGATGGAAGCCAACAAAGTTTGGTCAGAGTGGCTATAAGGCGAACAAAGCAGCTTACGGTTCTTAGGTCGAGAAATGACGGGAAGGCAGTGCTGGAAGACACCTTCGCCACGCTCCGAACAACGCTAAGAAGGCATTCCAAACAGAGCTAGCTGCGATGGAAGAGCACGCGGGCACCAGAGTTGCGGAAGCAAGCTGGCTGACGGAGCCTGAATGAACTCTGAAGACTGAAGTCAAACTCAGTTCACTACTACAGCTGTACTAGACTTCAGTGACAAACAGTCATGTCATTGGTGAATGAAGACAGCAATCTATTCGCGGCAAGCTGTATGCATGAAGGCGTACAAAAGTTGTGCTCGCTTCACGTGCAAGCGGAACGTGTGAGGTGACAAGGGGATCTCCCCCGCCCGTTGAAGAGCCTGCAAAAGCACGTTTTTGACGTTTTTGTGACTTGCTGCTTGTCGTACCGATCGTATCGTGACGACACGTGGAAAGAAGAGATTGAGAGCGATATTTAAATATTTGGCTGTTTTTGTTGTTCGGCAGATCTGATACTGCACTGACCAATGTAGGTGTAGGTGCCCAGCATGTACCACAGAAAGAGGCCACGGTCTCCTGCCGACGTCCGTGGTGAACTGTTGCGTAGGATCGGGATCGGGATCCATTGACTTGCTGACTTGTGCCAAGTAGGTAAAATTAATTATTTAGTTACACAGAGTTGGACGACCTAGCTATGTAGGGGTTGATCTGTATAAATAGAGAGGTTAAGTTTCACGTAAAAGTCTTACGTCCGTGAACTTTTACGTCAAAAAGTGAAAAAACTCACGTAAAATTTGACGTGTTTTAGGTGAGTTGACTGTCCCGCACGTAAGTTCATGACGTGAGTTTTTGGACGTTTCGCTTGGTTATCCCGACCGAATTTGTGTGAGTTTCCGGAATTTTATGGAAATTTATCGAGTTTGTTGGAAGATTTGATATTTGTGCGAACTAAACCCGAATCCTGCCAGGCAAAATTTCACGTCACGTCGCACGTATAACTTAACCTCTAAAAATTACACGTAACGTGAGATTTGCACCGCGTTTTGAAAAAGGGCAAAAAACGTGTAACTTAACCTCTCTAATAATGACTATGTGCATGTAGTCTGCCTTGCAAGTACACGTACGTGTACCGGTGTTACATCGTACAACCAGGGAGTCGTAGAAATACGGTGTCCATGTAGCCACACGTACCCAAGTCCCAGAGTACATAATAGTAACGGGGGTTATGTACTCTTGATGTACATGTACCTGATTACAACAACAACAAAAAGTAGTCACTTGAGCAATTGAAGAGCATTACTGTTCAGGTACTAGGTGTAATGACGAGGGATTATGTATACAAGTAATGTAGAGGATTAGGTGACCAGCGTTCCCTGATCTCACACAGTGTACCTAGCTTGGTGCCCTTTAGTTTAGGTGCCCGATGATCTAAATTTAACGTTACACCGAAAATAACGTGTTATACCGGGGAGTACTACGGTACCCTAGGCCCTGGCCCATACCTTGCTGAACCGGCCTCACGTACAGACTCAGGATGATTGGCTTTCGTACGCGTTTTCGAGAAGTTTTGCATAAAACCCCGCGTAACTACTTAACCCATGGGAATGTACAGGCTTGCTTGGCGATGTCAACGCGAAAAGGCTGATAAAGGCAAGGTACGTTCGGGCCTGATTTAAATCTGGCTTTAGAAATTTTATATTTCATTGCTATCTGGTTCGGCCGCATTTTCTCTGTGCTGCGCTGATAGTCCACAAAGGACGAAACAGTTCCGTCCGCAGATTGAGTAATAATAAAGTGTACGCTCGCATGAGTTTCCACCACAAAGTTGTACACAGTAGAGTTACGCTCAGTTATGCGCCGAAGAAGTTTGTCATCTTCAATTTCCAAGAGCATGACAAAAAAGAGTGTGCAACTTGAAGCTCTCTCATCCCACGGTGGGATCTTTTACGACATCAGTCTTTCCCAGCCATTCAGCTCGCTGATGCCATCATGCGCACCCACTAGCCAGAGATCAAACGTGCAAGGAATTTGTACATTGCTGCAGCTACGGACGCACGGTAGCCGAATCAGCACGTTCGGACTGTTTATCCATGCGTCCTGAACCTGATGAACTCAACTGACACCGATCTACACGAGAAGCACATACAGCACATACAGCACATACAGCACATACAGCACATACAGCACATACACAGTGTACACATTTGTTCCTGCATGTACTTCTACCACAAACATGACGCAAAATAGTCCGACCTGGGTGAGTCCATTGTACAATGTACCTCAAGAGATTGGAGTTGCACACTCTTGGCTACGTATTCTCCGTGTTTCCTCCTTTTAAATTATTTGCGTTGACCCCACCAACTAATGGCTGATCCCAGTCGTCGTAACTAAGTTTTGTATGTGTGTTCCAACTAAATTTGAAACTTAAAAAGGCAACCTGCATTAGTAATACAATGTATGAGCAGCCACAGTACAGAACCAATACAATGTCACTGTATTGGTTCTGTACTGAGGCTGCTCAGTCGTCTCTAATACAGTAGCACTGCCTGTAGTTCGTTGGAGCCGCTGAGAGATGTAAGCTAATGAAATGAGGAATCAGCCTTGGGAACAGAGCCCGGGATTCAGGTCTGGTAAAGGATGCAGGCTGTGGGAAGGGTACTTACTACTTCAGTACTTAGTGTTGCTGTAATTACTGAATGTAACGGATGGCATCAAAACTGCCTGGGTAGGAACCATGAAAGGGTGCCTGGATCCAGAAATGATTTCTCATATCATTTGATTAGTACTGTAGATGGATACAAGGACCGCTGTTAGTGACATGTAGCACTAGCACTGGCACAAACAAAAGTGGATTGTTGAGAAATCAACACTGCACTCTCACACCTTTCCAGATGATGCCCCCCCCCCCCCCCCCCCCTGTATGGCACACAAGATCATGAGCTAGGGAAGCCAGGCTGACATTGAGAGGGAGAGACTCGCACTGCTTCTTCTTTCTGCACATTTTGTCAGTTTCCCACCCACCGTTGGACAATGGATGATCAACCACACCACCGACGGCAGGTTAAAAGAATGTGCACCATCACTCGCAAAAAAGCATCTGGATCTAGACTGTAATAATAGTAGTACAGCTGTATTCCAGTTTACAACTTTACATGTACTTGGCAACAGTGTTTGCAAAGATTCACATTTCATTGTACATGGGCTGTTGAATCCTAGTACAGTACTTACTGAATATACAGTACTGTCTTGTTCCTAGCTGCAGTCACTAGATTCTGACTGTACTGTCACAGTGTGAACTTCTGAACTCAGTGTGAAGTATCAATGAAGTGTGAAGTATCAATGTGCTAGATAAATGCAGCATGGGACTTTACTTAGAACTTGTGTGACATAAGTTTTAGATTTTAATAGTCACTGGTGCCAATCCCATGGACCCTGGGGCTCTGAATTGATGAATAGCAACACTGTGACAGCATGTAGCCCAATGCATGGTGCAGAGAATATACCAGAGATCCAGTGCAAACTGTGCTAAACAGCTTAGTAGGTGTATGTACACATGGCCTCAAGGGCGCAAATCTCTCTGCTAGATTGCAGTGTGTGTGTGCAGCGCACTGACCCAAGTGGGCACAGCATCACCATGATCGTGATGGCACAGCATCACCATGATCGTGATGGCAGATACACGCCCACAAAGAGAGAAAGTCGCTGGTAGATTGTTTGCCGTTCTAAGGAAGTTAGGATTGGAGTCATAGGCCGTTGCTGCTGCTGCTGCTGGCACATTGGCCATCTGTTCGGACGTAATTCTCGAATGCCACTGTCCATGCACTAGTTAGGCGTGAGTAGCACCCCATCAGAGCGATATACTGGTCATCTGGCGCCGTGGCTGCTGTGTACTCGGGACACGGCGTGCCTGCAAAGATGCATGCACAAGCAAATCCGTTAGAGCAAACAACAACAGCCTAACCTCGACGGAACAGCATTTTTGGAAATTTGACTTGCCTGCACTGCTGTACAAATTTTATTAGTTGACTAGTCGCTAGTTCAGGGTTGTGCATTTCTGCATTTCTGTCTTGGTGCCTGTAGAAACAGTGACTTGTCTGAAATGCTACAGAAAAGCGAGAATTCCTAGATTGCCCAGAGTGCTCAACACCACGTATGGAGCAATACCACTTCACACCTCTTCTGCTCACGTTTTTTTTGTCTGAAATGCTATGCCTCTTGGCTGAAATTTGTTGCAGCCGAAATTTTGTTTTGCAAGGTTCAGCGTGACAATTAAGCAGGCAGCAGCAGTACAGGCCGACAATGTGTTGCAGCCGAAATGAGTTTTAGCCCTGGGAGGCCGAAATTTGAATGTGCCGAAAATTTGTAGGCTTACAGTACCCAGCTACATGCCATTGAGTTGAAAACCCCTGACCAGTTGCACTCTGAGAAAACTCAAACCATATCGTTTCACTGACTTCCATATATCGCATTTCATGAACATTTCGCTACCTGTAGTCTTCTGAGCGCTGTGTAGAATGGTCTTGGTCAGAGGAAGCTGAGACCCTCCCTTCGTCCTATATTCCCAATCCAACTAACACACTTCCCCTGAGCTTGAATCGGGTGAGTGCACAATGAAAGATAGGGATTTTGCAGGAAATTTCACTCAGAGCGCTGCTTCGTTCTTACAGAAGAACGGGAAAAAAAACTATTAAAACCTGTAGTCTTCTGGACCCTGAATCAAATGGCCTCAGTCCGAGAAGTCGTCCAACGGTCGGCGCTACTCCCAATCGAATGCGTTCCCGTAGTGAGGTGTTCACCAGTCTGCCACCGTACCTGTACCAGTGGACTGTGTACTTGTGAGTACTGGTATGCAGTGATGGCCATGATCACCATAGTGATGGCCATGATCACCATAGTGATGGCCACGATCACCATCCATAGCTGAAGAAGAGTGCCCTCGTCGAAGTGACTCTACCGACCGTCGCTTCCATTGGTGGACGTGCGATCTACGGGTTTCTACACAAGTCCCTATCTACTCCGTAGGGTGTACTACTCAGTAGGGCGTACTGGTCGCATTTCGAGGGATGTGCGTGAGTTTGATTGGGAATATAGGACGACGGGAGCAACTCAGCTTCCTCAGACTAATGGCATTCGACTCAGCGCGGCCCAAGAGACTACAGGCACAGGCAGTGAAATCTTGATTTTAGGCAATACATGCACTTCCTCTTTCATTAGTGAATTGCTGACCTGGAGTGGGAGTTGTCGGTAAGTCTGTGGCTTGGGATACGGTGATCGGTGAGGTGGGAACTGGTAACGTTGTAGTCATTCCAGCAGGTACAGTTGTTGCGGGCATTGGCACGTTGGTTGTTGACGTGGTTGCCACAGTCATCAATTCCGGCGTCGTGAGCGGCAGAGATGTGGTTGCTGGTAGTGTGCCTGCAGTGGTAGTCAGGCCTATGCCAGTTGTTTCAGCTTGGGTTGTTTGTGTCATGGTCGTTGATGGAGGAGGTGTTTCAGCCATGGTCGTTGATGGAGGAGGTGTTTCAGCCATGGTCGTTGATGGAGGAGTTGTTTCAGCCGTAGTCATTACTGGGGGAGTTGTTTGTGTCATGGTCATTACTGGGGGAGTTGTTTGTGTCATGGTCATTGATGGAGTAGTAGTAGTTTCTGTTGTAGTGCTGCTGGCCTACAAGAGGAAAAGAAGTGCATAGGAAATCAAACACGTTTTAAAGGTTCAATTCCTCAACTAATGAATGTACGAACTTAGAAGTTGCGACTTCGGCGGTAATAGTCATGAAGTTGGTTGCTCCAACGAGGAGCACACGCTTCTTGCCGAACTTGACACTTGACTGACTCACGACTGCCATCCGGAGCACATGAGGAGCACGTCGCACCTTCCGCTCGGCAAACCTGAAAGAAAGCACCACTCCCTGCTCAATACACAGTGTTTCGGGGAATTCACCCCTCATCAGTTGAGCTTGAGTAGGCTGAGGAGTAGACTGCGCTTTTCAGGCACAATCTTCCTCAGCCTACTCAATTGTCAAGTTCGGCAAGAAGCGTGTGCTCCTCGTTGGAGCAACCAACTTGATGAATGTACGTTTTAAAAGGGGAAGTATACCCTAAAATCAAGTGTTCACCAGTTAATTAAGGGGCCGTCCGTAAATATCGATGTTTTTTTAGAGACGATATTGGTGCGTCTGGGGGGGGGGAAGGGGTTTGAGCCATGTGCGTCTTTTCGAGCATCAGAAAAATATCGATGTAAATATCTGAAGTTTCGCCGATCCCTGCACCATGTGCACGCGGACGTCTAAATGGCTATACAAGAAATGTGAAACCAGCCTCCGTTCGCGGAGCTAAAACTCGCGACACAAGAACAAAATCAAAAATTGGAAGCTGTACGCCCATGGCGAATTTCAAGAGCAAAAGAACTAGCTATTGATTGTGGAAATCGGCCGAACGATGCCTGCAGGAGACCTTTTTCAAGACGTAGAGGCAGTGCGAACAAACACGGACGAACTCCACAAGAGTTTCCAGTCTTCACTGTCTGAACAAGGATTTGCTCTTGGCAAAGGCTGCACCGGCAGACTAGTTTATCCATCGCCAAGCTGGCACAGACGCTGAGAATGGTACAACGGAGCGATGCGAGCACTGCAAGTATGTCTTCTTGTCAGCGGCTGATAAGCTTCGCCACAACCGCCTGAGTCATAGCAGTGAAGGCACTACATCCAGGCAGCAGAAGGAGCATGTGTGCTCGTATTTGGATGGTGCTTCTACTTGTGGATTAGCCTTCACCACCTACTATGGGCTAATGCAGCAAAAGAAGGCTGCTGGCCACAAGTGTTCTCGAGGGCGACCAAAAAAGTCATAATGCTCTCCTTCTCAATTAGACCATATAAATACTGCAAACTTGCCATCTTGGGTTCATATTATTGACAAAAAAAGGAAAAAAATGAGCATCCAAAAATATTGATTCCATGATCTAGATGTACATGTGCGTCTTCTGGGGGAGGGGGGGGGGGGGGGGTCAAGGGAGACTGGAAGCACCAATATCGTCTCTAAAAAAACATCGATATTTACGGACGGCCCCTAAGTCTTCGGGGTGCTGAGTCGAATGGTCATGGTACGAGGACGCTGAGACACTCCCTTCCTCCTTTATTCCCAATCGAACTCACCACTTCCACCGAAACTGGGTGACTGCGCCCTAATAGATGGGGATTTGTATGCAAAATGTGACTAAAAGTGCCATTTCGTTCTTATAAAAGCACGGATGACCGCGATTGGCCCATAAGTTGTAATCCTTTGGACACTGAGTCGACTGGTTTTGGTTCGAAAAGCTGCGATGCAGCGTTCAGCCCTGATTGCCAATCGAACACGGTTGGGTAAGCGGTCACGTGCTCATGCGTACACCAGTCACCTGGTCATGCGTTCACCAGTCACCTGGTCATGCGTACACCAGTCACCTGCTCATGCGTACACCAGTCACCTGCTCATGCGTACACCAGTCACCTGCTCATGCGTACACCAGTCACCTGTTCATGCGTACCCACAGGCTACAACTTACAGCCTGCTTGAGCACGTTCCTGTCACTCGAGTTGAACCTTTGAACCCTTGAATTGAGCCTTGGTGTGAAGTTTGTAGCCTGCAGGTACGATGACGTGACCAGGTGACTGGTGTACGCATGAGCAGGTGACTGGTGTACGCATGACCAGGTGACTGGTGTACGCATGACCAGGTGACTGGTGTACGCATGACCAGGTGACTGGTGTACGCATGAGCACGTGACCGCTTACTCAACCGTGTTCGATTGGGAATAAGGGTCGAACGCTACATCGCAGCCTTTTCGGACCAAAACCAGTCGACTCAGCGTTCAAAAGATTACAACCATGGGCCAATCACGGTCATCCGTGCTATTTGTAAGAACGAAATGGCGCTTTTAGTCACATTTTACTAGTGTTTAAACCGAACACGGATTCTTCGAACGAATAATCTATATTCTATCATACACATGATGGAATTTTTCAACACTTTTTCAGCACTTTTTAAGTAGTTTTTTTTTGAAATTTTTCGCTGATTATCGGATTTTGTATTGTGGAGGTGCATAACAGCACAATGTCATGCACGTACATGTACATGTAGATCTACCAGTATGTGCACTGGCAAGTACAGGGTGCAGACATGACAGAAGAGCACAGTATGGAGAAAAACGTTCACAGATCGTGTGAGACTCGGCTAGAAGCCGAGTTTTCCGCATCTGCAGGAAAGCCACCACCCTCTTGGATCAAGGCGCAGATGCAGCTCCTAAATAGGCCAAGCGGTGGGAGGTGAGTAGATCAGACCCACCACAAAGTGGTCAAAGACCGAAAATCACATTCACTACATCCATGTTTCCCTCTTATGGAAAGAACAGAAGTATTACTAGATACCGATAGGAGATTAAAACTTGGAGGAGAGGAGATTGAGAAGAAATACTACGAGCAGATCTACGCCGTGCAAATATCAGCAGGGTCAGCACTGAGCATAGATCGCTTTTTTTTTTTTTTTTTTTTTTCGATTTCTGACAATTCCTACGACTATTCTATTATTCGTTCACCCCACAAATATTCTAAATTATTCGATTATTCGTTTCAACACTACATTTTACATACAAATCCCCATCTAGTAGGGCGCAGTCACCCAGTTTCGGTGGAAGTGCACGAGTTCAATTGGGAATAAAGGAGGAAGGGAGCGTCTTAGCTTCCTCGGACAAAGACCATTCGACCCAGCACCCCGAAGACTACAACTGGTGAACATTTGATTTTAGGGTATACTTCCCGTTTAAAGATTCCTATCAATATACTGGTACCACGGAAATTGAATTTCACTCGGCAATGGAAATTCCGTGGAGACCTAAAATTGAAGCCTTGAGACCTAAAGACATACCCACCCCTCCATCTACTAACTGTTACATACATCTACATGTACAAGGTAAAAACAAGAACTTGATTTTATACTCAATTCTTCCTCTGGAAACAGAAGCTTCGTGAGTTAATTTGGACAAGAAATTTGATTCAGTTGAAGAAAAACACTTCAAGACAATGAGTGGATATGCAATGGACTTGTTTTAAATATGTATCAAGTCAAGACCGCCTAGGACATATAGGGTGTAAGACGTACTATCGTGCAGTACAATACTTTTTGCAGTTGACGAAACATTGGAACACTTGATTGCAGTGCGGGTGCAGCAAGTGCTTTGTCTAGGAAGCATTTTTCCAGGTTCCCTTGTGGGTACATCTCACCAGGTTTTGACTGCACTATCATACAAAAGAGACCAGCGCTCGGCACACTCAGAGTCACCATTGCTCGATTCCTCAGAGCTCAATTCACAAGGACTGATAGGTTGATCGAAGTCACAAAATTGTTTTGTTTCTGGAGGCAGTAGTTGTATAGACTTGTTCCAGCACGCACACACTCAGTGACAGTATTCGTCAAGCTGGTCGAATCGACGATGTATGAACCAGAAGTATTCAAGTATCGTGTAATACAGGCCTATATATTGTAGTAGTAAGGACAACACGTGGATGATTCCTCCATCTTGTCTGCGAAGTATTCTATTAGACCCCACACACATCACTGAAGCGTCAAGAGCGTTGCATGGCTAGGTGCGACACAACATCACCAGCTTACCGGCGAGAAAACAGCCGACGGAATCTGAGTATGGAACATGGGTACTGTGTGAACCACTGTACATCTGTAGATCACAGGACATCAGGGTAGAAATGCGAGAAGAATCTGCTACACCAATCAGAACATGGTAATGTTTCTGGGAGAATTACTGGGCGGTAGTGGACCTCCTTGTCCCCCCCCCCCCCCCCCCCTGGCTTGGAAGAACTACCCCCCCCCCCCTCCCACACACACACAAACCCAGCGTCCAGAAGAGCTACAAAGCCGGCAGATTATGGCCTTTGCCTGCTATAGTTCTAATCATAACTGTGTGCTCGAGCTCATGCGTGACCTTGCATGTAGTCTTGGGTATCCTGTACCCCTCACTGGTAGCTGGGACATATTCGTGTTTACCGGCCGGCTGACTAAAGGTCCCACACAGCAACGTCTACGATGTAGATGACTTGGAAATCTCTGTTGCTGTTGCTGCTGCGATTATACAGTCACCTCCTTGTGCAGATGCCATGTTATAAGTCCTGGAGGAACCTGTCAGTTGGGAGGTAGATTCTGGCTGTGCCACACGTACCTAACAAGCAGGTCTCCGGCTGGTTCAGCAGGGGATGTCCACGGTATGGTCAAGGACTGCGTGGCAAGACGCTGCGTGTGCGTTATGCCTGCAGACTGACATTGTCACAATGAAGTGAATGAACACAGATAAGAGATAACGATAGCCCCCATACAAGTCAGGTACGGACAAGCTATATATTATACCATACACACTTGAAAAAAGGAATCAAAGTGTTTTTGCTGTAACTGTGGGTTTCACCGTCAACCACAACTCTCCCCGAGTATATTTATACCATGCATGCCCAGGGAAGTACAATCCCCCGGTGTAGGATTTGTTCATGCAGGGTTTGTGTGCTATCTCATCTGTTGCCAGGCATCTTGCCTCAGTACTAGTGCTCACCCTGTGCCGCACTCAATGTCGGCAGTATCGTGCTTCATGCAACGCCTCTCAAATAGGTGTTTCGGTGCAGGACTTGCCAGCACATGTACCGGAGCTCACTCCCACTGCATGGTGTATGCACATATACCGGAGCTCACACCCACTGCATGTTGCATGCACATGTACCGGAGCTCACTCCCACTGCATGTTGCATGCACGTGTACCGAAGCTCACTCACACTGCATGGTATATGCACATGAACATCTTACTGAACTGGTGGTGCCTGGTATTTGTCCAGTGCAGTCCACAAGTTGTGTGTTGCCGAACGTGGTGAAAGAACCAATCGGCGGTGAGGTGCCATCACGAGGTGTTGCCGCACTGCGTACTTGGCAGAATATACCATTTATTGCCAGGCCGCTTGAAACCACGGTAACTGCAAACACAGCCATGCACAGGTTCGAGCATATACAACGTATTACTATTAGGAAACCTATCCACATCAATACTTGAAACCACGGTAACTGCAAACACAGCCATGCACAAGTTCGAGCTTATACAGCGTATTAGGAAACCTGTCCACATCAATACGGTACAGTACAGTAAGATCGGGCGCCGAAGAACACCTCGCCGAAGAACACCCAGGCTGGAAAACCGGCAAAATTTAAGAACAGTCCAGGCTAGAATTATCAGATTTAAGAACACTTTTAAAAATTTACACGTAGATCTAAATTGTACATGTATGGGAGGTGAGTACATGTCATGTACACGTGCAAACAGTAACTGCTACATGTACAGTCACTCCCATTTACGACGCCCACTAGTTTAAGAAGTACTACATTGCACCACATGTACATGTACATGACAAACGTCATGACGTCACTCGACTCGCCGCGCGCGTGTGAATAAGAACGGTCTGGCTAGAATCAAAAATTTAAAGAACTTTCCTAGGCTGCGCTCGAGCCCCTGCGTTCTTCGGCGCCCGATCTTACTGTACACAAGTACAGTGGTGCTCGGTGAAATCCCACCCAAAGTGCCAAACTGGCGCCCTGGACCAGTTTTCGATAACATCGTTGTATTCGTACATGTGTACGTCTGGCCGCATCTGTGCCACTTCCTGCATGGGCGTCAAGCGCCGTGCATATGGAGGGCGTCTAATATGCACTGTTGGTTGGATTTCACCCAATGCAACTGCATAATGCCCATCATCAATTCATTAATATAAAAATATTATACAAATACTGAAGCCGGTAGATGAATTCTGAGCCACCTTGTACTGGTAGGGGGGTCGGTAGTTCTCCCCTTCCAGGCTGGCATGATTGCGGCGCCAAGTGTTCCCACCGCGTTCAGAGGGTGTACCGACACAACACGCACAACCACGTACACATTGCAGTTTGCAGGGAAGGTTGGCATATTCAACAGACGCATACCGCCATGTGTGATCAGTTTCTCATGATTAAGCCTAGAGTCCACCTTTACCAGCATAGGTAGTTGAAGGTAAATAAGTTGGCCCAATGTTCGTCGTAATGCTGTTCGTCCCATCTCCTGACGCAGGTTGAAATTGGATAGGACCTATTTGATGCATTGGTCGCATGGCACCACAAGCAAATGCTGGAGCACCAGTGGAGTAGGAGTGCACACCATGCAGACAGCACTGGTACAGCGTCAGTACTGCTACTGCTAGTTGGCAACGGACAGTGCTTCGGTGCGGTGAGCGTGACGGCATCTGGCAATACGCATGCAAGTACACACAGACACACACACATGTACACACACACACACACACATGCACATACACATACACATACACACACACACACACACACCTCAGACCTCAGACATGCCCATCGCGGAAGCGATGATAGCGAACAGCTATGTTAGACATAGCGACTTGTGCTGGGATTATACCATTCAACAGCTTGCAAGGCTGATGAATTGACCGCCACTAGTTTTAGCCTGGTATCCACCACACAGCTGTTTGAAGTGACTTTTCTGGCCAGTGAATCCCTATTTTTTTTCATTTTTTCATTTTTCCATTTTTTTTCTACACACACACACCACACCACACACTCCGGCATACACTGGCTGTTGGTAACCACCCAGGAGAATGAAAGAAAAGTCAGGAAGAGTCCGAGAAAGAGAAGAAGGACGTGTGCGACCACAATCGTCGGGAATTGAACCCGCAACCTCTCGATTGGAAATCGACTGCACTGCACCATATGGGACACACACACACACACACACACACATACACAGGCACACCTTTGACCTTTTGACGCCCATCGCCGGAGGCGATGATAGCAATGCTACGGCAGAAGCCATAGCAACTTGTGCTGGGATTGCACCATTCAACAGCTTGCAAGGCTGAAGGATTGACCGTCACTATTCAGCCTGGTCTACACCATACAGCTATTTGAAGTGACTTTTTCTGGCCAGTGAATCCCTATTTTTGGTCTTTTCATTTTTTTCTTTTTCCCGCACACACATCACACTACATACTCCGGCATGCACTGGCTGTTGGTAACCACCCAGGAGAATGAAAGAAAAGTCATGAAGAGTCTGAGGAAGAGAAGAAAGACGTGTGACCATAATCGTCGGGAATCGAACCCGCAACCTATCGATTGGAAATCGCTGCACATACCACTGCACCATATGGGACACACACACACACATACACATGGTAAGTGTCATGCCAGTGTGAGACTGCCAACCAGTATTGTCTGTCCCAGATTTCGTGCAGCTCTTTGTAAGTTTGAATACTTCTAGTAGTTATAATACCTTAAAGTCGTGTATAAAAGCCACGGCTGATATGACTTTCTTGGGGAAATTTTGCAGGCTTCTATATGAGACAGGCTTCTATACAAGACAGGTATTTCTATGTATGTCAACACTAAAACCAGGCTTATGTGCCGACAGTGTATCTTGAAAATCAGGCTTCTATATGAGACATGACAGGCTTTAATACTAGGGGTGAAACGAACATCGAATTTTGAATACGAACGAACGGTCACACTAACGAACGAACTCGAACGAACATTCTCCATTATGTATTTCATGGATGAATTTTTTTGAAGACCATACAGCCGTCTGTCAGTACAGGCGTTCTCTGTACTTGGCTGGCCACAGTTCAGTATTGACGGTGTACGATACACTGCCAGAACAGAAATATTTTTTTATCGCGTCCGCCTGAGCTGAATCACAGGGTTTTGCAGCTAGCTGCAAAGTCCATCACCATCGTCCGGACGAGAGTTTTCTTCTCATCGCTAGCTCAGGTCGTCAGAGCAGGAGAACGGTACTTCTTGAGGTGGGTACGAAGATTGCTCGTCGTCGCTCTGCTGTGTGATAGAACCTTTTTGAAATTGAGAAAAGGACTTCGTCTTTCCCAACCACTTTATCAAATTCCGCTCCAACTCCGGATCGCGATGAAAGGCTCGAATGTTTTGACATGATTGCAACGAGTGAACGTTTGCTTTCGGGAACAGATGTCACAAGCGACTCGAATCCTTTCACTACGAGTACAAATCTAACTCAAACGGACACACAGAAATATTTCAAGAAACTTTGTCCCGACGCGACACTCAACTCCTTCAACTTGCTTCAAGTGATCATCAAGGCAAACGCAGTCGATCAGCGTGCAAGCTCGCGATCTCCCAACCTCCGCGGCTCCTTCGTGATCTAGTCACAAGCGATCTTTATGCTTGCTTGCTGTGTTCGTTTATCAATCTTGCGAGTTCGTTCGTTCGTTTTCAAATTTTTCGAACGAATATTCGAACTTTCGTTCGTTCGTTTCACCCCTAAATTAATACAAGACACTAAGGTAGGCTAATAGGCTAGTCGATTTGTAGCTAGTAAGTCAAACAATGCAAGGACCAGTCAACTACTTGCATGGAACATAATTCAACATACTTCAATTCAAGTGTTCCTTCATCAGAGCTGGGATGGGTTTGTAAACTCAGTCGATGTGAAGGATCCTGTATCATTTTAGTGGTGACTTGATGGTATGGGATAAATAAATTCCAAAGTGAACTGGGATTCTGGTGTGAATGACTCGTGGGGTCAGTTGGGTCGCTGTACATGTAGTGAACTGTTACCAGTATTGTTGTTACCAATGTGCAAACCGCCAGTCATTGCTCAACCGCAAATCACATTACACCCTGGCACGCACAAACACACACGCATACGCACACACACACACACACACACACACACACACACACACACACACACACACACACACACACACATACGCACATGCACGCACATACACACGAATGCACACGCACGCACAGGCGCACACACACGCATGCACACACACATACACACACACAGGCGCGCGTACACACACACACACATACACACACACATGTAGACACACACACACACACACTCCACTGATGGCGATAGACACACTCCCTGCATGCACCTCTTTCACATTTTGTCCCTGCACATCATCACGGTGTCAAGTTAGTGGCAAAATTAAATTAAGAAGGCCATGTGGTGAGACGTGTAACAGTTCTTGGAGTAGATCTACAGAAGTACACGAGTGCCTGAACTCTACCCCTTTTCTTCAACTGACATGTCAACATTGTATTGTGGAAAACTTCAAGATTGTCATGTCCCACCATTTTCAAGGTATGTATGGAGAAGCAATGCATGCTGAAGTCCAGTGCAGATTCACTGCTGCCACTATAGCAATGCATGCTGAAGTCCAGTGCAGATTCACTGCTGCCACTATAGCAATGCATGCTGAAGTCCAGTGCAGATTCACTGCTGCCACTATAGCAATGCATGCTGAAGTCCAGTGCAGATTCACTGCTGCCACTATAGCAATGCATGCTGAAGTCCAGTGCAGATTCACTGCTGCCACTATAGCAATGCATGCTGAAGTCCAGTGCAGATTCACTGCTGCCACTATAGCAATGCATGCTGAAGTCCAGTGCAGATTCACTGCTGCCACTATAGCAATGCATGCTGAAGTCCAGTGCAGATTCACTGCTGCCACTATAGCAATGCATGCTGAAGTCCAGTGCAGATTCACTGCTGCCACTAGTGCTAGTGTGGAGTGAGATACATGTACAGTCATTGGGTCAGTGACAGTGACAGTGACAGTGAGACGTCCTACATGTACCTGCACTTGCAGTACATGTAATCAGGCGCATAGCCAGCTCCTGTGCAGTCAGTGTTGTCCGGTCACCACAACTGCAAATGGCTGCCATGCTGTAGGTACTACATAGTCAAAATGGGTAAAATGGCAGCTACATAGGTTGCCTGTGGTGCATAGTCACCACACCACAGATGTGCTATGCACATGGCACATAGTTAGTTAACTTACCACACCACAGATATGGGAGCTACACTTCCCAGTAATAATGTGTTTGTCCTCTTCATTATGAAGAGGACCGTTACAGGCCATACTAGTACTATTACCACTGATCCAGCTTGACACTACTAGACACACAGCTTCACCAACGGGCAGCTAGTTTAGGAGGAAAACCAAGTGACCAACTGACCAAGGTACCTGTGGACTGTGGTATTCAGTGTTCACAAGAAGGGAGTTCTTCCTATCCATATCGTTGACACACATGTACATGTACGGGTGACAGTGTACATTTTTTTCAAGATAAACCGGTGCATGATAGGCAGTGATAGTGACCGGGATGTACATGACATTGTACTCAGTATTGAATATCCTGCCGCAGTGCTGCTACCAGTATAAGCCGACCAGTGAGTTGCATGGTAGGTCTACATGGTACCGACTGCCTCAAGGAGCCGACATCGATGGCTCGCACCCACACGGGGGGGGGGGGGGCATACAGCCATCATGTGACTACTCAGGGACGTCGCACATGGTATGGTCACTACGGTATTGACCGTACCACTATTTGACCCAAGTACCCCATGAATCTTTAGGGTAATACAATGCACTGATTTGGTCTCTAAATTTCCAAAATTTTCGGCTCAGCCACCCCTCACCCGCGAGTAAATTGTACTTCAGATGGCTGACCATACCACACTAAATTACCTTCCGACGCCCTTGCTACTAGATATAGGGCCGAGTGGGTGACACGCGACGTTTCCCTACCCCCCCCCCCCCACACACTCTCTGTAATTCGTCCTTGAACAATACACGTACTGTCAACAGGCATGAAGCAAAGGAACTACCGCCGATGGTCTGAAATTGATTCACGTATGCAACTTTGGACTTCGTTGGCCTGCCGCTCAAGTCATCCACATGTCCAGGCAAGAATGAACCGCAGCATTTATAGAGAGTAGATCTACCCAGCTGGGAACTGAACAATGCACCCGGGGGGCTCAAACAAATAGGGAGTCTACGGCTTGACTCCGCGATCCATCTTCGTCGCCGGAACCCAGTTTATTTCGATGACAGATGACAATCAAGCTCTTGTGCATCATTGCAAAACCGTTCATAAGCTAATACAGCACTACTAGGCTAGCTACACATAGTGACATAGAGTCTACCTGTGAAACCAAAGTACATACATGTACAGTGCTGGCAACTGAAATCCGACCCCCTGAGCGGTGCGCTCACATCCCAAAGACCCAGCACGGGATGGTAAAATTACGAAACAGGGACCGCTAGAATGTGAACCCACCGCTCAGGAGGTCGGATTTCAGTTGCCAGCACTGTAATTATGAACTGACTACCGGCGCAGTACCGGTATCATAGCATCGACCTCTTGACTAGAGAGTAAAGTTAGTTAGTTACAATACTCAATAGATAGGCCGATGCTGGTTGCCGAGACAAACACTCCACTCCCCACCACTATGTCCACAAGGCAGTGCACGCTGGACGCCACCACGAAAAATGACAGGAATTTCGAGGACGATAAAGGCGGCGGATACGCGTACGCGCACAGTTGTTACGGAAAGGGTGCACGCAATCCCCACGCCTCCTTTCTACACAGCACTGCCACGCGGGAAGAAAAACAACTCAAAACACACCTTACTCGGCTTACCCTGTTTGCCGTCTGTCCGGTCACCTGCGGGGATAATCCGCTTTGACGGGCGCTTTTCCGGCTGCGAATACCTTGCGCACTGCGGGGAAGCCGGCCTGTCACAGTTTGACTTCGTCTTCCTCCTAACGATCTCAGCTGCAAGCTGCTGCGCTAACTGCACCAATATAGCCTGCGTTCGCTGTTGTTGAAAGTTTACCTCAGAATTGGAACTGACTTACTCTTGTGTCCCTGCCGGATGATGTCGCTTACACATCGACATACTCAGGACTAACACGCCTGTTTGTTGGGTTGGGAAATAGGCAGCTGGCACGAACACACGCACCAACACGTCTCTATGCTACAACGAGTGTTGGTAAGAAGAGTTTCTAAAAGAACTAGTTTCGTCTGCTGCACTCTCGTGGCCGTGGCCGTGGATCTTCTACCACCGCATCTGCAGTGCACTGGCATGCACACTAACAATCATTACTGGACACTGCAAATTCACTTCAGCGAAGAGGCAGTCTCGCACGGTCGTAGCAGGCTGCTAATGCACAATGGTCACTTTCGCCCATCTTAGTTAGGGCAAATCTGGCGCTGAACAGTGAACAAAAGACCACACTCCACTCTTCAGTATGCACTGAGCTCAAGCCGAGGATGTGGAGCGGTGTGCCACTGTCGTCAGCGTCAGCGAAAAGGTATGTCAGCCGATATCCGGATTCGGGAAAGCCGGGAAGTGTTAGTTACTGATGCAGGTCACACTGCCCGCCGGCTGCAGCAGTCATGTCGCGGCGTCGCGCGGCCCTGCAGTGGTGTCCTTGGGCGCAGAGTGAGAGAGTGATGGGGCCGCAGGCGGAGACCCGAGTCAACGACATGCGCACAGCGCTCGAGAAAGCATGTCGAGCTCCTTGACTGCCCGATGGTTTTGTCGCTGGACGTGAATTGTTGAAAGTGTATCTACACTCGAGCAGAAACGGGAATGCCATCGTGACTCCAGACTGACATTTTGGTGTATGTTGTTAGCTTAGCAAAGTAGCCCCACATGTACAGCACTTTCATTGTCGCAACAGTGCAAAGTAAAGACAGAGAAGTGTTGATTGTTGCACTGTCCGGCGGTGTCCGCACCGTAACTTGGCGTAAGTCACTCAGCACACAATCATGCAGTAGAGGTTATTGTACTCTCGGTGCTACCCGTACCCATCATCTTTTAGCCATAACATTGTCAATGCAGACATGTACCAAGAGCACATAACCCTGGCATGTAGACCCTAGGCCCTCAACTGGCTCAAGCACGCCGCGACGCGATACTTGCAGCGATTCAGGCTCTTCGTTTAGGCTTAGCTCTAACCTGTGCAGATACCGGTATTGAACTTGAGTGTTCACAAACCAGTGGACATATGAACGCACAGGCCTTTCAAGGATGCTTCCCATCAGATTCAAATACAAGTACTAGTACAATCATAATCATCATTGCATTGTCCAGCGACCGGAATCACCAACAAGACGGTCTTCATCCATGCCATACATGTACTTATTCCGGAGATCGCGGAAAGGAACCGCAATCCGCGCGCGTGCGCATTGTTGCTTGTTGTTATGACCCTGTCACTGCATGTAGATCTAGGTGTTGGTCTGGTTGACAGTTGTCTAAGAGTTAGTAAGACTATACTAAGAACTTAGATGTACATGTACTAGTATAATTATCATGCTGTCTGATGAGGGTTTCTTCAGCACGAAACTCTGAGTTACTCAGAGTATGAGGGTTTCTTGTTTCGTGTTGAAGAAACCCTCATCAGACAGCATGATACATCTTTATAGAGAACTGTCAACCAGACCAACACCAGTAGATGTAGATCTACAGTGACCATAACCTAGACTAGTAGCAAATGAAATGAGAAAGCTTACACGGCAGCCCCTCAATTACTCTACGGCTTGTTTTCGAAAATAATAATAATAATAATTATTGATAGTCAAGCCTGGCGTGTTGTGATCCGGATAGCGGAGACCAGGGAGTCGTCAAATACCGGTAGTTGACGACTCCCTGGCGGAGACCGTGGAGTCTTGGCAGTTGGTACACTGTACTACGTGTGGACGTATATTATTATTATTCCCGTAGCTATGCAGAAGACGTTACTTCAGTAACGTCTGGCGCTAGCCAGGGTCCACACAGCTTTAATTTGGTGTTTGTTTGTGTGTTTGTTTGTTTGTGTCACGCCTGGCGCTATCCCGTATCTGTCCCGTACTGTACCGTACCAGCAAAGACAGCTAGCTGGCCACAATATTTTTGTTTGTTTGTGCCATCGACATGCCTGGCGCTATCCCGTACCTGTCCCGTACCATCAAGAGTACGGTACCATCAAGAGAATGAGTATATATGCGAAGTGTATGGGGGGAATGCATTCAGTGCAGTACCATTAAATTTTGTGTGGATTTGTGTGCGAGGCCGAGATCCCACTAGCAGGCTGGCTGGGCCGCCTGTCGACCAGCCCGGGAATCGCATGTAGGCCGATAGCATAATAATTATAACGTACAGTCATGTAGATGTATAGCAGGGAGTCATATTATGTAAACGACTCCCTGCTGTATGGGGAGATTTTCTGGAAAGAAATACGAAGTAGGGAGACGAGTAAATGCGATCAGAATGGATGTTAGTTGCCGTCAGTATAATAAGAAGAAGAAGGAGAAGAACGCCCGTGATCGGCAGAGTCAGCACCGGTCCCAGAAAATGTCAGGACAGACATCCCGTCGACTCCAGAACGCCCGTGATCGGCAGAGTCAGCGCCGGTCCCATAGCTATGCAGAAGACGTTACTTGTACTTCAGTATCTCATTGAAACGTTTTTGCAATACAATGATGTAGCTAATCAAAGGAAAAAGCATTTCCATCAGTTCTAACAACATGCGCGATGAGCTAGGCAACAAAGCATAGCGCAGGGCCCTGAGCTTCCAAGCTCTCTCGTTATTATTATTAATTCAACATCTCCTGGCTCGTCAGAAGACTGCCAATATATAATGAGAAGTCGGGTGGTAGCCAACCACGGCGAACTGAATAATAAGGAGAGAAACAAAGAGAGTACTGCAAGGGGAGGCATGACGAAAATGGTATAATACGAGTACATTGTACTTGTAGTCGAATACAATACATAATGGCATAATACATCGTACATACTGCGCCCGTCATGTGTGATTATTGACAATCACATTGGAGTGGAGAGACTGGCTCGGCGAAACGAAAGTCTCCGTTTAAAAATAGACTGCAAGCCTGGAAGTCCTGCGACTAAGAATACCCTTGTTTAAATTAATAATACATACTGGAACTAAAGAATGATGCCATCTCGAAATACCTGTGCCCGTCTCGCTGAAGCTGAAGGGCGTGGAGGCCTGGAGGGGTTCACAAAGGGCATTGAAAACTCTGAAATAGGTTCCCGACACGATGCTGGTGGCAGTGCTACCGTGCGTGTCGGTCAGTGAGTACTACATACACTGTGACGTAGTAATGGATCACAATGAATCATCGGCAATGGTCAGCTAGTGTGGAAGAGGTTGGGCAATGGGCAGGTCTCTCACTATTATAGTGACTCTCTGGTACTTATATTCGCACCATACTAGACTCCATAGACATAATAATATATTGCTTCGCCTCTCATGCTCCACAGCGCTGTAATTTTTCTATTGTATTTAGGAATTTCCCATACTAGGGCTTTGGCATGTCCAGGGTGGTTCCGGAACTGTACAGCGTCGTCATGAGCCAGCATGGGGGAGGAGGTTCAGAGGCAAGGAGACTGAATTCCACCGGCCAAGTACTGACACTGAGAGAAGCAAGAGACGCAGCAATCAGCTACACCAAGACTAAAACAGTACATGAGTGTACTCTTGATTACACATATATCGGTATAATGAAGGGTGTCTTTCGAGATACGACGATCATTGAGAAACCCGAGATGGCCATCTCCTTTCTTTCTTTTAACAGGTTGCTATTCATTAGATGAGAATGTTGGCGACCCTGGTTCGTGGAAATCAATTCTAGTTGTGATGCTCCTTCCCTGTAACACAATAACATATTCGCTGCCTTGTCATTGAGCATTAGTGCTCGTTTGGATTTGCGAATTCAAATAAAATATGCTGACAAACAAACAATGCTTGGAACAGGCAGAACTGGTGGGTTTCTTTGCTAGAGAACAGAGACTCAAAGAGAGAGAAAGAGAGAGAGAGAGAGAGAGAGAGAGAGAGAGAGAGAGAGAGAGAGAGAGAGAGAGAGAGAGAGAGAGAGAGAGAGAGAGAGAGGAGAGAGAGAGAGAGAGAGAGAGAGAGAGAGAGAGAGAGAGAGAGAGAGAGAGAGAGAGAGAGAGAGAGAGAGAGAGAGAGAGAGAGAGAGAGAGAGAGAGAGAGAGAGAGAGAGAGGGAGAGAGAGAGAAAGAGAGAGAGAGAGAGAGAGAGAGAGAGAGTGTGAGAGAGAGAGAGAGAGAGAGAGAGAGAGAGAGAGAGAGAGAGAGAGAGAGAGAGAGAGAGAGAGAGAGAGAGAGAGAGAGAGAGAGAGAGAGAGAGAGAGAGAGAGGAGAGGAGAGGAGAGGAGAGGAGAGGAGAGGAGAGGAGAGGAGAGGAGAGGAGAGGAGAGGAGAGGAGAGGAGAGGAGAGGAGAGGAGAGGAGAGGAGAGGAGAGGAGAGGAGAGGAGAGGAGAGGAGAGGAGAGGAGAGGAGAGGAGAGGAGAGGAGAGGAGGGAGAGGAGGGAGGGGAGGGGAGGGGAGAGGAGAGGAGAGGAGAGGAGAGGAGAGGAGAGGAGAGGAGAGAGAGAGAGAGAGATCGTCTCCTGGCTTGAGCATGCATTGGCTTGCTACCAGCAGTTTAGTATGCATAGCGGGCCAAGTTGATAGCTTGAGAGGTTGTGAAACAACAATATTTAAAATACAATCATGTAGGTGCATTCTTCATTTTTACAAGGTACGTAGTATGACGGAAGGGTTGCGTCTATGACTCTGCAGACGAGCTTCGTCGCATAGTGTGGCTGCGGTAGTTTTGTCGTAGTGTACGTACTGCAGTAGAGAAGTGCTATCAGCAGCCTCCCCATTCCCACCCTGCCCGTTTACAATGTACAATTATTGTACTTGTGTGCGAATCGGCCAACTTGGCAAGACGTTTGTGGCAGGAAACATAACATCTCCGCTGTCGACATGTCTGGATCATCCTGTGCTGACTTTACTGAATCTAATCTCCTAGTACTAGGTACATACTCAGCCTGTCCAACCTTGCCACCATTCCAAAGCAGGACTGTCCTGCTCAAACTAGTCAAAGCAGGACGGTTGGACAGTCTGCATACTAGCACATTGTACTTTGTAGACTCTACCAGCAGTGCACTAGTGGCAGCAGTGCACTAGTGGGGTTTCGTCTTTCAGATTCATGCATGATTGATCATGATACCCTGCTGTGCTTTATGCTTTATGCGAAGTAGTAAGTTAGTGATGCTAAGACTTGCGAGTGCTCCACAAAGAAAATCTAATACACATCATGCACAAAAGCACCAGTGGTTGATATGGCCATCATAATAATTATAATGATATGGGCATCTCATGCGGTGCGCACGGCCACGGCTAGACGAGAGGAAAGGAGGCGAACAGAAGTGATTACGGATACTAGCACAATAGTACCGGTAGTAGATCTACTAGTAGCCGTTACAAAACTACGTCATGTAGGTGAGATGGAGTTAGGTCTTAGGAAGGATGATACTGAGTACTGTAATGCCCCTCTCTGGCTCAACTGTTCCCACGTAGACACACACGTACAATGTGCGAGGCATGTACTGTAGTGTACAGGCGCTAGGCATGTAGAGTCTACATCTACATGTAGTTATCGCTATTATTACTATTAATAGTATTATTTTTCAATAGACCCGCAAGGCATCGATTGTTACAATGTTGTAGTTGAGTCACCGGCGACTTCACCCTGGCGTCTTCCTTCCGGTGGTAGAAGTACGTGTTGACATCACGGTTGCAGTGTTGGCATCACATGGTTTGTCACAGTTTGTCCCCTTGACTCGACCGTGTGTTCGATACCGGCAGCTTGTAAGGTTAATATTAAATAAGTGCATGTAGGTTTCAAAATTTGGCTTACCTCAAGCCGGCTCTAATAAGACGAAACCTTGCAGGACACCCTTCGGTCAATTCGAGACACTTCGCAGGAAGTACAATCCCGATGACGGTACATACATACAATCATGTAAGTCATCATTGTGATACTGATGATGTGCCTGCCAGGCCCTAGGCCTACACTCTACAGTAGGGTCTCTAACGTTACTCTTGATTGCGTGTAGACCTACCAGTACGCAGTACACGTACCTTTTGGCTGAGAATTACCTGTCCCGGGGTTGTACGTAGAAGTTCAGAAAGGTGTCGTGTATCATCACAAGCAGAAAACTATTCAGTCTATAGATGTTGTTGTAGAAGTGTACTAGTATTTAAAAATTAACGTCGCACCACAAACAGGCGGTTTCGCCTATACATGTGGACGACAGAGGGAATGAGAGAAAGGAGGGGGGCAGAAATGCGAATGAAAACTTGACTGAAAAGCAATGCCAAGAAAATAATAGCTTGGTGGGTGATGAGGGCGAGTATATCAGGGACGATCGCAGGTGGACGGACGACATTCAAGGAAGAGTTTGAAGCCGCCACGTTATTGCTCTTCAGTACAGCTTGGTTTCATGGCGTGACTCACAGCCTGGCAGAGGGCCAACGTTACCATGGTTACTGCTATGCACAAGTAATATAGTATTCGCTTTCGTAGATACAGTGTATACGCCTTTGCATCCGCTCTCCCGCGTCTGCCCTTGTCTCTTGTTGGCACGGGTCGGTGCGTTGGCACTGCTGGACCGAAGATAATCCAGTACTAGCAGTAGTACATGATTGTGTTCTAATGTAACTTGTTACATCTCAGTGACATTTCTCACACCGCCGCGGCCGCTAGCGACAACACTTTGGGCGCTCGTGGTATCGAGCACCGTTGGCGTTGCAAGGATTTAGCAATGCTTAGTATGTGCCAAGGAGGACACTAACGTTTATATGTACGGCTAGATCTACTGTACTTCGAGTGCATTGTAAAACGTGTGTTAGAGAAAGTCGGGGAAAAAAGGACACACGTACACGTGGGTCCTGAGAATACAGATACACAATGTACTTCTGAAGTACCGGTAGCTGGAATCATGAGAGGACATACAAAAATAGAGATTATTGACTTTATTGTACTAGTATCTCGTCAGTCCCAACGGAAACTCCCTTCGATAGGCATCTACATGTACATGATTGTATTTCTTTCTTTGCCTTTGGAGATCCTTGAGTAACATGTCATGTCAACGAACAGGGTCACAGCGTCCGAGTCCTTGGATGTCCCCATTTCTCAGGTTCTCTTGTTCTGTCAACTGCCACTGGTGTCAGTGTCACTCTACATCTACAACTGTCCACCTATTGTCCAATAAATTTAGCAAGGAGTCACAACATACCGGTATTTACGACTCCCTAGCTACTAACGACTCGACTAAGGTAACTGGTCATAACATTGATGCTCCATGAAATCTGATCGCCTGAGCCAAGTTTGAACCCTGCACCCTGCACCCTACACCAGTTCACATGGGGGGGGGGGGGGGGTCCAAGCTCGATCGGATCAAGTTCATTGAACAGCACTGTATCACTCAGTCTGTTCTTAGATCGACCTACCCACATTTGCACCATGCTACACTGCGTTGATGGTCGATTGTAACTTTGTCACACCACTTGCGCGATCACAAAGGAGGAAGGGCTGTGGCATGGAGATAACGGTATGCAGTAGGCATAATAGACCTATCATCAGTGGGTGATTCCAACATTACAAAAATAGCCTACAGTACAATTATGTCATGTAGATCTACGCCTATATCAGCACGGGTCTAAAGCTTTCCAAACTGCTAACGCTATACACTCCAGTATGTAAGTGGCTGCGTTGGAGTTTGCAGACAGAAAAGCACGAGTACATTGTAAAAAAAATAAAAAAGGAAAAAGAAGAAGGAAAGAAGAAAGAATGGCATGCATGCATGCAGGACAATAATAGAGATAGAGAGAAAAGCAGAGGTGGGTGAAGAACAGAAGATAAAGGAATGGTTGAAAGGCTCGAGGCGCTTGCAAGTTTCCGTGTTTGTTCAATTTGTCCTATGACTCATGAACGTTGCATGGCTGGCAGAGACTTTGCCCTGTTGCTAAAAAGGACAGAAGTTGAAGCGTTCAACCGCGGCATGCAGCCGGCTCATCAAGCTACCACTGCACATGAGCTCAAGACGATGGAGTGGTAGGGGCACAGCCTTGACCGCCGGACGACAGCCAGTTCTGGTAAGCGGCATACCACTCCTCAAAGCGCTGGCTCCAGCAGTACAGGTAGGCACGATAGCGCTCAGCGTCCGTTGTGGCCGTGGCCAATGGTGGGCAGTTACCAGCTGTCAGCATGGACAGAACACAGGTATAGAGTACATGTACATGTAGTTTCAGGTCTTCACTGTGTGCGGACTGCATTTTTTTTATTTATTTTTAATTAAAGGGGAACTGTCACCAAAAAATTTCTTCGTCTTATCTTGTAGTTCTTTGGCTCCTGATCACGATGGTGTTATCCGTTTTTCTCTGCGATGGCTGGAAGCGGGTGAAAACTTGAAAAGAAGGTGCCCAAAATTGTCCCGAAGTACCGAGTGACGGCACGCCGGACTTGACCTCCACGCGTACATTCGTCGTCAAAAACGAAGTCCAGCCCGTGTGCTGGTCGATCGAGCTAGCTGTTCCAATGTACGGTGCACGTGTGCCTTTTGAACTGTAATACAGATGGGTACGTCGTACAGAAGGAGAATGCCAAAGAGGCAGAGACCCACGTGCAGCTACACAGCCAAATCAAAATAAAAAGCAGCTGAGCTTTCACCTTTTTGACTTCTTCCGCGAGGATCTAAGTTTTATTTTGTGAGCACGGAAGTACGTCGTTGTTTTGAACTTTTCGCGTGAGGAACAACACGATGATGAGTGTGTATGCAGAAAACAGTACTCCTCCGGCCGGCGATAACACCACCAACCCGAGCCCCAAAGGAACGCAATGTAGGTACGTGAAGGCGATTCATCTGGCGATGTTGCTGAAGATGCAGATGACAAACTCCGACGTCTTTCATTTCAGAGCCGGGTGGGCAACACCGCCACCTTCGGCTTCGATACAACGACATTATTTTCAAGCACGAGGTATGTGTGTCACACTAACAGCTTCCACTCCTTCGTAATCACAAATAAAACAAAGAGCTGGAGCTTCGTGGAGGAAGTACCAGTGCGACAAACTGCTGTCGACTTTTGTTTATTTTGTCCCTTTTTGGCGTTCTCATTGTGTACAACGTACACATCGAGTGTCCGAGTTCAGAAGGCAAGCGTGCATCGTAGGAAGAGATCTACATCGAACAGTTGGCTCGATCGACCAGCACACGGGCTGGACTTCGTTTTTGACGATGAATGTACGCGTGGAGGTCAAGTCCGGCGTGACGTCACTCGGTACTTTGGGACAATTTTGGGGACCTTCTTTTCAAGTTTTCACCCACTTCCAGTCATTGCAGAGAAAAACGAATAACACCATCGTGATCAGGAGCCAAAGAACTACAAGATAAGACAAAGAAAATTTGTGGTGACAGTTCCCCTTTAAGTGCACATGGCATGTGGACAGTGGAACCAACATGGCTGACATCACGTGACCCATTGATTCAGGTACATGTATTGACTGGAGTTGAATATGGCTGCCCTGTATGGACATGTGATAGATGCACTGAACAGCTCTATACCATTCTTTAAAAAAAAAAAATTTCAACCTGTGCCGTTGCAAGATAGAGCGGTATGTACTCCGTCTCACCAGCAACTGCCGCCGTGTCCATGGAGCAGTCTATATCACCATACAGCTTTCAATGGCTGGATCCTGGTAACACCGTCACTCACAGTGCACGGCAGGCAGACACTTATTTGCCAAGTCATGCGGCAGCAGCAGTATCGGCTAGGCATGGACTTGCTACTGACACGGCATTGCCTCACTGGGTTTGCTAGGCACAATGGATACAGTCGGGGAAAATTCAGGTCCATAATGTCGCTCCAACACAAGTATCGTCATACTGGTTCAAGCTACATGGCAGTGCGCTGTATTGTCGACTAAGTACTAACACATGCGGAAACTGTTTTCCGTGACCACCGATGGGACCAACCTGCCGCAGTTTTTTAATGCATCAGGACTCTTAACTTGCGGCCAGGGTGAGCATTGCAAATTCTGCATATTTGATGTCAAGGAATGGTCTTGCAGAACACTAACTGTGGTGAATATCGCCGGGAACTGGAGACCAGGTGGACTGGAGACCAGGTGGACTGGAGACTAGGTGGACTTAGGCCCGACCACGTGGTCTTACACTCAACACAACTGATCACACAGCATGGGGCTGTGTTCCCAAAAACAAGCAAAACAAAATGGACTAAACAAATTGAATACGAATATTAATTGGTCTTTGGACCAGATGGCTTTTGGACCCAGGTGACCTTTGGACAAGTAGGGCTTTGGACAGGTGGCCTATGAACCAGGTGGTCTTTGGACCAGGTGGTCTTTGGACCAGGTTGTCTTTGGACCAGGTGGTCCTTGGACCTGGTGGTCTTTGGACCAGGTGGCCTTTGAGCCAGGTGACCTTTGGAGTAGGTGGTCTTTGAGACAGGTGTCACCTGTATTGCCGCTTACCGTTGAATTCAGTTGTGGCTGCTGGTGGTGCGCCCGTGCCGGTGTACGGTGCCGTAGTGGGTACTGTTCCCGTGTATGGAGCTGTGCTAGCCGCCTGCATTGGTATAGCACACACAGACCAGACAGAACACGTAGTGACCATGAAATCGGATATGCGATATGTGCATGGCTGTCTTGCACCGGAAAACAGCATGTATAAGATTCCACAAATTTGCACAGAGGTGTTGTCCATGTCTGTGGGTGCTAATTATCAAAAGTCAATAAGCAGTTTGCCACACATCTATCAGTACTTCTCATGGCTTCCATTACAAGTAGAAGTATAAAGGGGCAAGACAAAGGCATTTTCAACAGCTTGAAGGTGTCGAAAGAAAGCATAAGCCCCAAAGTTCGGAGCACCTATCTCCAGCACATGTTGCTGCTGAAGTCGCAGCATCGTAGTTCGTAATGTTTCGTTAACAACGTGAAATACTGCTGCAACTATTAGCTCACTAGTTTTGAGGAAAGGAGACAATGTACCGCACAATATCATGATGTACCAACTGGTATTGTAGTGATAACAGAGAGGCTTAAAACACCTTGCAACATGAGACAAAAAACCGGAATACCCACTGATTTTGACCTGCCCCGGAATGCAATGAGTCGGATTGGCAAGTTTCTAAGCCTCTCTGATACCTTCCCAGCAACATCACTGACTGTATATACTCACTGGTGCTCCTGTGGTGAGGATGGAGGTGTTGGTGGCCTGTAAGCAGAGAATCATCAAAGCACTATCATTTCTGAGCTCATGACTTGAACACGTCGTATGACATGCGGAATACAATGAGGGATTGATTTAAGACAGTCTTAGACAGGGCATGAGTGTGGACGAATCGTGACCCTCTCCGAAGACAGCGGATTCCTTTTTGATAAGCCAGATGCATTGATATAGTTTGCAAGGCAGTTCAGTACTGGTTCGATGGTGATTTCCTCACGTGCACGGGGCAATTGGAGTTCAACGACAACTGAGCCTTGCACTGTAAAGTAGTACCGCGAAAGCGCCCCGTCTCGCGAGAGCGTCCTATCTTGATTTTACAGCCAAGGGAAGGAAAATCGTATGGCAGAGTGCTACTGAGTTTGAACGTGCGAAAACCTTAGTGTGCTAAGGTGACACTTGGCATGTTCTTGTGTGCAGCTAGCATCCGCTCCAAGGTAAACTGAGTGCGTATTTACTGCACAAAGTGCAATGTGTGCACATGGTCTATGTCACACAACCTATAGGCAGGACACCACCTCCACAAGACGACCACGAAAGGACGAGATGGTGGGCCGATCTCGCGGTACTTTACGGTTGTGTATCGTGTCGGAGAAAGGTCTTCTGGGGTGTCGTCGAGATCTCGTTGCGACCGTGACTCCTGCTTGTCTCCCTGGCTAGGTGCTGCTTGCTTTGCTTTTTTGCGTAGTGTTTTTGATTATTGTTTACTATTGCGTATTGTTAGTGTTCGTTGTGATTTGGTACAGTACTTGTTACGAGATACGACACATTGTGTAGTGTGTGTTTGCAGCACGAAGAAGACTGCACACCAGAACGGTTAGCTCAGGAGCTTGGGCTTACCTTGTGCAATCACAGTTCATCAGCTTGGACATTGCGCTTGGTCCCATGCGAATAACCGACTAGAATAGTAATTATTTCTTCGTTGCATTTTTGAATTGTGTTCTTGCTAGCTCGTTGATTTATTTAGTTGATGTGTTGATTTGTGTTTGATTACTTATTTATTTGATGCGCGATTTATGTGCGCTGATTGCGTGATGGCATGCAATTATGATCATGCTTGCGCCAGCTAGCTAGATGCCTGCGCCGCGCACTGATGTTGAATGAGTTAGTATGCGCCCCGCGCTGTTCATGCATATATGGTACATGGTGTGTAATGTTTGCCGCACACGCGTATACGTGCCTCGCCTCGTACTGCTTATGTGCCGCGCGCCGTACTATTGCTGTCGCTTTGCCGCCAAATTTAGCTTCCGCTTTCCGAGCGCTGTACGCTCTTCTGTACGCTCATGCCAAAGTTGGACGCACGTTGTGGCTGGCCAGCGCTTTACCCCTCATGCGTTGTTCTTTTCCTTGATGCTGTGGTTTGTTTTTCTTTAGTGTTCTAGAGTTCTCTTTCCGATGTAGTTCGTATTTTTCCAGTCTCTTCTTCTCAATGTATTCTACTGTTCATTCATTATAGTCCGTAAAGAATTACGTGACCTTTTGTCTTGTGGCGTCTGTGCGATCCTGAAAATTTTGAGGTGTTAGTAGTGAACACAACAACGGTAACACACACACACACCTCAGACCTCAGATCTGCCCATCGCGGAAGCGATGATAGCGAACAGCTATGTTAGACATAACAACTTGTGCTGGGATTGCACCATTCAACAGCTTGCAAGGCTGATGAATTGACCTCCACTAATTTTAGCCTGGTATCCACCACACAGCTGATTGAAGTGGCTTTTTCTGGCCAGTGAATCCCTATTTTTCATTTTTTCCATTTTTTTCATTCTTTTTTCTTTTTCGACACACACACCACACCACATACTCCGGCATACACTGGCTGTTGGTAACCACCCAGACACACACACACACACACACACACACACACACACACACACACACACACACACACACAAAACACACACATTACACATAGAGTCATGTCCAATTTCTCAAACTCACTGTGTAGAAAGATGTTGACGGGATCTGGACCCAGAATGTGGAGAAGGCTTGGACGACTGAGCAGCTGAGCAGACAAACACGGGTAAGCATATTGTAGCAGGCTGTACTAATGTCGAAACTGCCGATAGCTAGCAACAATGCGCTCTAAGCAACATTCTGCAAGGTTGTCCTGTGGACATGACTTAATAGCGGGCACGATGAAGCCTGTCACGGCTTGCACCATGGCCATAACGGTCTATATCAACAGTGCTAGCGTAGCTACTACTGCGACCCATGGGTTAGTGCTAGTGTGGGTAACCGTGACACCGCTCGTCTTGTCAGCTGCTGATGGTACGTTGTGGCATGGATATACCACCATTGCTGCTCTTGGCATCAATGCATTCCAATTCCCTCAACTCCACACTAATCTTCTCTAATATGAAATCATCTTGAGACAATCTTGATTAGATTTTCGATCCAGACCCAAGGCCCTGTGGTGTGTGGTGAATGCTCCCAAGCATGCCCGTACGCGTACAAGCTGATAACTTACACAACGTTGAGCGTAGCTGGCAGAGCCACGTCAGCAGGGGGTGCTGTCCAGTAGACGGAGATGTTAGTGACGCCAAGGCGCTCTGTGTGAGTAACGGCAGCCTGTGGTGAGCAGCGCACATATGGATACACACAAACAAACAGATGCAAACAGACAACAGGCAGACACCTACTGAGGCTGCATAAACGCTCTAGAGACAAGCTCCGCACGATGTAAACACAGCCTGGACCATGCTAAGAATAGACCAGAACACGACACGCCATCCAATGACATTAAATAATTACCAAACAGAAAGAGATTTAATTGACTTGCTGCAACACAAACCATAATGAATGGCAAGTGCGTGTACCTTTTACCAGGGAGTAGTACAATACGTATTGTACTACTCCCTGCCTTTTACAATATCTTTCCAGACAATGTGACTACATGTCATTTATTTCGTCCAAACTTCCCACCATATACGCTCTCCGGCCACCATCAACCATGACCACTGAAACATTGGCCCGGCCATGGCCTGACCAACCGCACCTCAGGTTCTGCCAGACTGTATTGTAGTGCGATGGATAGACACAGTTCAGCACAGCCTGAAGGCAGCGGATCTCTTTGTGGAGAGCTGCGGAAGACAGGCTTCTCACTAATTTACTTGGCCTGGCATTGTTGACAGATGTGCCAGCCATGTGCCTGTCAGACAGGTTCAAGGAAGATGCGAACTGTGTGTATTACCTTTTTACTAATACTATTACTAAGTATTACCTTTTTACTATTATTATGACTTTATGCACTCCCAAAGCTTGTTACTTAGTATTATCAAGAGTGCATAAACAGTTTATGGACTCTTGGTATTATTATTAGGACTGATACGATTATACCAATTACTCAGTAATCGATCGATAATGGAATCATAATTCCTTTTAACAATCAACTAATTGTTACGTTATAGATTACTCGTTAGGGATTTTGAGGCCAAAAGATACTGAAAACCCCCGTTCCGTGAAGTATGAATCAGTTCCGCTGTGAGCATGCAGTTGCCAGGGCTCTGGTTCATGTTCTGAGGTTCAATTGACTTCAAAACCGCCATGTTTCAGAGCTACTCGTTCACTAATGCAGATTTGTGGTATTATGAAGACATGGCGTGTGGAGACAGAGTAAGTTGTTGCACAAACTTATGCTACTACATTTTGGCAGTATTTGCTAACGAGTGTTACCGATTAATCGATCGTTACGCCAACGAGTAACCGATAGGTGAAAAATCCACTCTGTCTCAGCCCTTATTATTATGTGTTGCAGTGTAAATACATACGTCACGAAGTACATGTATAACTTACCGCTGGATTAATACTATTGTCTTCGAACCGCGCAGCACAATCACGAGTCTGAGTACGTGGTGCAGTCGTGAAATAGCCATAGGGTCTTGACACGGCTGGTGCGCCATACTCACGCACTTGGCAGAAAAAGCCGAGGAATTCCGCGCCGCTCGTTGACAAAACGGTCACTGTGCGGCAGAGTGGCAAACAAGGAAAGCAGCAAAATGTTGTTGTTGTTGTTGTTGTTGTTGTTGTACATTTTATTGCCGCTTCAAACAGGAAAATGAACCTTCTTACGTGAACTCGATAGAGAGGGGGAGACCAAGGATTAAACCCACAGGAGTGCAGCAGTATATGCCGCAACGAATGGAAATAGGTGACTATATGTTCACACATCAGACCCAAGTACACTACCCCCTACCTAAGCCTACCACATCATTGATTCTCGTCACTCCTTTCCCAGCTAAACTTCGTTCCATCCATTCTGTTTGCCATAATCTTGCATTCGCATCAATATGGTGGTTGTGGCAACTGGTTACATTGAAATGTTTCCATTGCCCCCCCCCCCCCCATTTTTCATCCTTTATCATAGGCAACACAGATCTGGCTTTTGTTCATCTGCATGATCCACTAAATGAAAAGGCAGCGACTGGAATGAATATAGACAAGTACATATAACCTGTACGTGCACTACGTACATGTACATGTAGCTGGCTCTACTGCAAGGTGCTTTTTCTTTTCTTTTCCGTGCTGGGGTCTGTGTTGCCGTGTGCACGCATGCTTGACAAAGTTGACGAGAAAACGGCAGCAAGTCTAGTGGTTTTTTGATGCTGGGCGGGAGATTGGGAGATGTTTCAAAACCAACAAAAAAATCGGGAGATCTCCTGGCTGATCGGAAGATTTGACACCTCTGGCCTGAGGTGCCCACAACATCGAACTCCGGATAAGAGAGCTATGGGTGTTTGTAAGCCAATCATGTGCTCAGGGTGCTCACCTCTGTATGGAGTGCCTCTGTTGAATCCATTAGGAATGTTGTGATAGACCGTGTATGGTGGTGGACCCTGCTGGGCGGCAGCACCTCCATGCATTGGCATCATGGTCTCACACGCCTCTACTGGAGCGCCAAAAGATCGAGCTTCGGCTTGGTTCAGCAGGCCAACCAATGTGCAGGCCAGCAACAGGATGGTGGTACGTAGCGGCGACATCTGTACACACATGCAAATACACATGCACACGCAAACACACATGCACACACACACACACACACACACACACACACACACACACACACACACACACACACACACACACACACACACACACACACACACACACACACACACACACACACATGGTAAGTGTCACGCCACTGTTAGATTACCAACCAGTATTAAATTGGACAGTAATAACTGCATAGTTATAATTACTGTATTAGAATGCTTGTCACTGTAAATCTATTTCATTTCTGCACTCAGACCATTACTAGTATAACCAGCAGAGAATCCTGGTCACGGCCATGACTTTCTGATTGAAAAAAATAATTAAACGAGAGAGCTTGGAAGCTCCGGGCCTTACGCTATGCTTTTTTGCTTGCTCATCATGCATGTAATGTGTCAAAGCTGTGTGGACCCTTGCTAGCGCCAAACGGTACTGAAGTAACGTCTGTTGCATAGCTACGGGATTAATATTTGGTGTTTATTTTTATTATTTTTTTATTTTTCGTGTCACGCCTGGCGTTATCCCGTATTTGTCCCGTACCGTACCGTACCATCAAAGACAGCTGGCCACAAACAGCTGGCCACAATATTTTTGTTTGTTTGTGCCATCGGCATGCCTGGCGCTATCCCGTACCTGTCTCGTTTCTGCCGATCACGGGCGTTCTGGAGTCGACGGGATGTCTGTCCTGACGTGTCCTGTGACCGGCGCTGACTCTGCCGATCACGGGCGTTCTGGAGTCAACAAGATGTCTGTCCTGCCGTTTCCTGTGACCGGCGCTGACTCTGCCGATCACGAATGTTCTGGAGTCGACGGGATCTCTCTTCCGACGTTTCCTGTGACCGGCGCTGACTCTGCCGATCACGAACGTTCTGGAGTCGACGGGATCTCTCTTCCGACGTTTCCTGTGACCGGCGCTGACTCGCACGTTCAAGATTATTTTGGAGACGACGGGATCTCTCTTCGAAAGTATGTTTTTGCTGACGCATCATATCACCTATTCGGCAACTAACGTCCATTCTAATTGCATTTCCTCGTCTCCCTACTTCGTATTTCTTTCCAGAAAATCTCCCTATACAGCAGGGAGTCGTTTACATAATACGACTCCCTGCTATACATCTATGTACGGTATAATTATTATGCTACCGGCCTACATGCGATTCCCGGGCTGGTCGACAGGCGGCCCAGCCAGCCTGTTAGTGGGATCTCGGCCTCGCACACAAATCCACACAACATGTTACTGCACTATCGGCCTGAATGCATTCCTCTGATACACTTCGCATATATACTCATTCTCTTGATGGTACCGTACTCTTGATGGTACGGGACAGGTACGGGATAGCGCCAGGCATGCCGATGGTATATACAAACGAAAATATTGTGGCCAGCTGTCTTTGCTGGTATGGTACGGTACGGGACAGATACGGGATAGCGCCAGGCGTGACACCAACAAACAAACAAACAAACAAACACCAAATTAAAGCTGTGTGGACCCTGGCTAGCGCCAGACGTTACTGAAGTAACGTCTTCTGCACAGCTACGGGAATACAATCTGAGTGATGAAAACGAATCGCAGTTTCCATAAACGATTATTTGCTCGAACAACAATTCTATGATTAAACGAGGTAAATCTACAATTCCCCACATGCCCACGATGGACTTTGTAAGATTAGTAAGATGGAATCAGGTAGCGTTCTCCACTGTCCGAAGAGTCCTCAATACCCATATATGGCAGAGCCTTGCACTCAAGAGAAAGATTGGAAGCTGTGCCGCAACTTTGAGTTTCACGTATTACTACGATCATCAGGCAACCTGAGACACAGCTTCCAATATCTCCCTTGTATAAGATTTGTAAGATTAATTTGTGCTTTTTAAAGCCATTTCTATTCTCCAATATGTCATGGCCCCGAGTCCTTGGTCGGCATCGCCCCAATACTGCCGATATGCAGGTGGGATTACCCTGACATCAGCCCTATAATGTCAAGTTACCATCTGAGTATGTCCTAGCCGCTAGCGCGTTCATTTGCCAGGCCCAGCGGCATTTCAAACCTTCGAATTCAAAATTTCCTTTTCGAATAATCTTGAAGCACTGTAATAGATTGAAGAAATTTAAATACTACCAGTTTTACATCCCTAGAAAACTTCTTTTATAGGGTGACAGTACATCTATTCCCAATCCGGGTGGACAGCAATCTGCTTTATACAGGCAGGTAGAGCATGGCATACTAGGACATGACTTGTGTATTTATGCACTACACTGCATTGGTGAACCCATGTAACGATGGTGTGCAATGATAAGACATGTACTTGCTTGGTATGGACGTTTTTTGGGACACGGGTCTCCCCTCCGGCTGTGGATTGTGTTTGTATACTATTTGCATGTTCCATTTCTTGCCATACCTGCATGGCTTCATGTCTTATTGGAGTCATGACTGGCCACTGTGATTGCCAGTACTGTAAACTGCCTAATGTTCGCTATTTTCCCGAGAAGAGCGTAACGCGAATATTAACCATCGTGAAATCTAACTTCAACAGTGGGTGTATGTAGATGGCCCCAGTGCTTCGCGAACTTTTGCCATCGCAAACTCGCTGGTTCTAAGAAATCGCGAAAATTTAGTGACGTGAATATTGGTCGGTTTACAGTATGTGTCCACACACAACAGAGTCAAAAAAAGGCACTGACAGTACTGTACATCTGCAAGTAGACCCGTATCATTATGTACATGGATTCTGTGGATCCCGGCTACAGTACATGTTGTACAGGATGGTGACAGCATAGCACAAGGTCCTAGATCTACACTGTACTTGGTAAACTATCTATCAAGCAAGGCTTACGAGCCAATAATTATACTATAACTTGCACTCCGTAGTGCCTATCACTGTCAGTATGCTCTTTACTACGCAGCAGGAAATAGAATATTATTTTAGTATTAGGACTGTGGACGTTGTATACTCCGGGGCATCGGAAGGTAATTAAGTGTGGTACGGTCAGCCATCTGAAGTGCAATTCACTCGTGTTGGAGGGATGGCCGAAATTTTTGGGAATTAAAGCCCAAATCAGTGCGTTTTATTGATTCACAGGGTGAGGGGCAAACAGTGGTACGGTCAATACCGTAGTGACCGTACCGTGTCCGACGCCCCTGATACTGATACTGCTACTACAATGGTTAAAGGGGAAGTTAAGGCAAAAATTAAAATTTCACCAGTTGTAGTCTTCGGGGTGCTGAGTCGAATGGTCGTGGTCCGAGGAAGCTGAGACGCTCCCTTCCTACTTGAATCCCAATCGAACTCGCGCACTTCCACCGAAACTGGGTGACTGCGCCCTACTAGATGGGGATTTGTATGCAAAATGTCACTAAAAGCGCCATTTCGTTCTTATAAAAGCATGGATGACCGTGATTGGCCCATATGTTGTAGTCTTTTGGACGCTGGGTTGATTGGTTTTGGTCCGAAAAGGCTGCGATGCAGCGTTCCTCCTTTATTCCCAATCGAACATGGTTGAACAAGCGGTCACGTGCTCCTGCGTACACCAGTCACCTGGTCACCGTGCCTGCAGGGTACAACTTACTAGCCTGTTTGACCTTTTTTGGGTACAGTCCTGTCACTCGAGTTGAACTCAAGTTGAACCTTGGTGTGAAAGTTGTCGCCTGCTGGCGTGGTGACCAGGTGATTTGGGCACCCAGGAGCACGTGACCGCTTGTTCAACCATGTTCGATTGGGAATAAAGGAGGAACGCTGCATCGCAGCATTTTCGGACCAAAACCAGTCGACTCAGCGTCCAAAAGACTACAACATATGGGCCAATCGCGGTCATCCGTGCTTTTATAAGAACGAAATGGCGCTTTTAGTGACATTTTGCATACAAATCCCCATCTAGTAGGGCGCAGTCACCCAGTTTCGGTGGAAATGCGCGAGTTCGATTGGGATTCAAGTAGGAAGGGAGCGTCTCAGCTTCCTCGGACCAAGACCATTCGACTCAGCACCCCGAAGACTACAACTGGTGAAATTTTAATTTTTGCCTTAACTTCCCCTTTAAAGGGGAAGTATACCCTAAAATCAAATTTCCACCAGTTGTAGTCTTCTGGGTGCTGAGTCGAATGGTCTTGGTCCGAGGAAGCTGCGACGCTCCCTTCCTACTTGAATCCCAATCGAACTCGCGCACTTCCACCGAAACTGGGTGACTGCGCCCTACTAGATGGGGATTTGTATGCAAAATGTCACTAAAAGCGCCATTTCGTTCTTATAAAAGCACGGATCACCGCGATTGGCCCATATGTTGTAGTCTTTTGGACGCTGAGTCGACTGGTTTTGGTCCGAAAAGGCTGCGATGCAGCGTTCCTCCTTTATTCCCAATCGAACATGGTTGAACAAGCGGTCACGTGCTCCTGGGTGCCCAAATCACCTGGTCACCGCGCCAGCAGGCGACAACTTTCACACCAAGGTTCAACTCGGGTTCAACTCGAGTGACAGGACTGCACCCAAAAAAGGTCAAACAGGCTAGTAAGTTGTACCCTGCAGGCACGGTGACCAGCTGACTGGTGTACGCAGGAGCACGTGACCACTTGTTCAACCATGTTCGATTGGGAATAAAGGAGGAACGCTGCATCGCAGCCTTTTCGGACCAAAACCTGTCGACTCAGCGTCCAAAAGACTACAACATATGGGCCAATCGCGGTCATCCGTGCTTTTATAAGAACGAAATGGCGCTTTTAGTGACATTTTGCATACAAATCCCCATCTAGTAGGGCGCAGTCACCCAGTTTCGGTGGAAATGCGCGAGTTCGATTGGGATTCAAGTAGGAAGGGAGCGTCTCAGCTTCCTCGGACCAAGACCATTCGACTCAGCACCCCGAAGACTACAACTGGTGAAATTTTAATTTTTGCCTTAACTTCCCCTTTAAAGGGGAAGTATACCCTAAAATCAAATTTCCACCAGTTGTAGTCTTCTGGGTGCTGAGTCGAATGGTCTTGGTCCGAGGAAGCTGCGACGCTCCCTTCCTACTTGAATCCCAATCGAACTCGCGCACTTCCACCGAAACTGGGTGACTGCGCCCTACTAGATGGGGATTTGTATGCAAAATGTCACTAAAAGCGCCATTTCGTTCTTATAAAAGCACGGATCACCGCGATTGGCCCATATGTTGTAGTCTTTTGGACGCTGAGTCGACTGGTTTTGGTCCGAAAAGGCTGCGATGCAGCGTTCCTCCTTTATTCCCAATCGAACATGGTTGAACAAGCGGTCACGTGCTCCTGGGTGCCCAAATCACCTGGTCACCGCGCCAGCAGGCGACAACTTTCACACCAAGGTTCAACTCGGGTTCAACTCGAGTGACAGGACTGCACCCAAAAAAGGTCAAACAGGCTAGTAAGTTGTACCCTGCAGGCACGGTGACCAGCTGACTGGTGTACGCAGGAGCACGTGACCACTTGTTCAACCATGTTCGATTGGGAATAAAGGAGGAACGCTGCATCGCAGCCTTTTCGGACCAAAACCTGTCGACTCAGCGTCCAAAAGACTACAACATATGGGCCAATCGCGGTCATCCGTGCTTTTATAAGAACGAAATGGCGCTTTTAGTGACATTTTGCATACAAATCCCCATCTAGTAGGGCGCAGTCACCCAGTTTCGGTGGAAGTGCGCGAGTTCGATTGGGATTCAAGTAGGAAGGGAGCGTCGCAGCTTCCTTGGACCAAGACCATTCGACTCAGCACCCAGAAGACTACAACTGGTGAAAATTTGATTTTAGGGTATACTTCCCCTTTAACTTCCCCTTTAATTCTGGTACTGGTCAGTACTAGTAGTCAATGGTGGCATCACCATTAGGCATTACGGACTCATGACAGTCACTGGTCACACTGGCAGCCGCACCAAAGCTGGGCAGGGCCATTGAGGAAATGCATCGTTGAAGCATCCTGAGCACTGTTCGAGTTCTTTTCCCTTTCACTCTCCATGCCGGGGGGGGGGGGGGGGGCTGCATCCTGGAGTGCGCGCTCTGTGAAAACACGGGTCGAATCACTGAATCAATCTCCCACGAATTAGCGTTGAGAAATACAGTCATGATACTTGGGCTCTCGGACCGGGAAGAAACAAAACACAACTATACTCGGACTAACTGATTCTACTGCCCATTGCGACCTTTCGTTCGCGAGAGCACCATACAGCACGCAACTCACAAGGCAACGCCTTTCGCTTTGGCCCCTGTTACTAGTGTTAGTTTTCGATGTTTATCATACAACACTACTACTACTACTAGTACAGTACTACCAAGAGTTTATCTACTCTTGGTACTACTAGTGATCGTATTCGCCAAAGCAGCACCTCTTGCCGCTTGCTGGCTACGAACCGCAAGGTGACGCGTGATCCGCAAAGTAACATGACTGGTTGTTATTGTTAGTTGCCCACCCACGGAGCTCCGGAGGGCGCGGAGAAGCGGCACATTCCGCACAGCTCATGCACGCGCGCACTACACAACACGCCAGTTTTCTTCCTCAAAGTCCAAGGCGTTTGCCTCCGCAACGTTCGCACCAGCTGTGGCGTTTGCGGAGTCTGATTTGCGGAGTCCGATTTGCTTCCGGAAGCACCGCCCAGACAAAAGCGCCCAGCAGGCGTTTCGCATTCTGTTCGACTTAGAAAAGAAGAGAAGAAGAATCGTAGGGTAGTACTAGTAGTATAGCCTACACGTATATGTTTCTTCTTACCTTTCCGATCACTCTCTGGTAATGCAGAAGACGAGATACAAAGACTGTAAACTGCTTCTCTCCGCGATGAATTCGGAACTGCGAAGGTCCGACTGGGTGCACGCTGCCAAAATGTGCTTTTCGAACGGCACCTCTTCTCTACTTCTAGGGGCTGAATTGAAGGCTCACGCCTAGGCTAGTCATTGGATACTTGAGAACGTTGAAGAGCTCTTCTTGGCTAGCTACGAGAGACTGGCTCGCAAAACGCCGGTGGAGGGCAGCATAGCTAAAGTCTGTAACGTGTTGAATATTAGTTCCAGAACAGGTCACCCAAACGGCGACCCATGATGGCATGAAGCACTTACTTCAGCAGGTGTTTGTCAAGAGGACATGAATGTGCTATGGATCACAGCAGTACTGGAGCACAGAGTCACTTCATTACTCTTCGCTTCGTGGCTCATTCCCCATCCTTCTCGACCCGTGCGAACTGCGGTGCTGATTCACGCTGGCAGGGTTTCCTGGTTCGCCTTTTGACTTTTCATCCTCAACCTCGCCACGGCAGAGCAGAATGTAATGCCACCAGGCATTACATTCAAGTGCTAAATGTACGGCCGTAAGCTTGCGTGCGCTAGCTAGAGCCAGGGCCGGCCCTTTTAAACTAGTTAGTGCTGGACAAATTTAGGCTTCTTCAGGCAATTATTATTCGCTCAAAAAGCAACCACACGCTGTTTGCCTTGTCATGGTGTCGAATCTGATGCAGCGAGAGTTCCAGTTGCCAGCGCAGTGATGATGCATAGTAAAAGAGAGAGGAGAGAAGGAATGGTTCGCGGTAGCCCTTGGCGGAGAATGCTGGCAGTGCATGTACTTTTTTTCTGGTATGTGTCAAGCATGTTTGGTATGCGAGTAAAGACGAGGAAGTGCATGCCATAAGGTTTGTATGGTTCTGACAAGTACAATCATGTACATGTATGTAAAACTGGTTTTCGAGCAGAATCTGCCAATTTTACTAGCATTATCCGTCAAGCCAGGCTATTTCCCGGTTACACTAAGAAGTTACTATCCGGAAACTGGTAACTACCGATGCAGGTAGTAGATCAAGCCAGGTGACCTAACACTAACAGAAAGAGTAGGTGAGAGGCCAGGCAGCGCATGTGATCGGAAGTAGGAGCATACATGACCTGCCTCGCATTCCCTGCTTCCGATTACCGGTATGTGTTAATGCTCCACGATTGGAATTCTATTGGTTTGGGTTTGTTAGCACCAATTCGAAGTGTGCACTGAGAAGTCACGGAAGTCACAGCATATCGGGCACTGTAAAACCATTATCCATATAAAAACCGCTCTGTGAGCGGTTCTGAAAAACCTTTACTGGTGCTGCCCCGTCGTAAAAGTAAGAAATTAGAACTGGCCCATTGTCCCCCCAAATGCGAACTGATCCACCTAAATCGCGAATGACGGGACCCGAACGCACCAGTAGCACGAGGTCGGGAGGGCGCAGGATCACAGCAATTATCATAGGGTAACACCACCTACCGCTAGTAGTACAGTAGATCTACAATGGCCTATGGTCCGGACCAACGTCCCCATCTGCATCCACAGGTAGGAACCTCGTACTACTGGTGCGTTCGGGTCCCGTCATTCGCGATTTAGGTGGATCAGTTCGCATTTGGGGGGACAATGGGCCGGTTCTAATTTCTAACTTTTACGACGGGGCAGCACCAGTGAAGGTTTTTCAGAACCGCTCACAGAGCGGTTTTTATATGGATAAGTTCAGTTCTTTTTCCGTTCCCTCCCCACAACAACAACAACAACAACAACAACAACTTCAGACGGCACGGTAGCAACAGATCCCGCAGACATAGCAGACATATTAAACACGCAGTTTACGTCGTTTGGACTTCCTGACGACCCTATGTGGCCTATACCACCACTCACCCCTTCACCCTCAATACCTGCGTCCCTCCTATCATTGTCGACTGGTACAGCCCAAGTGAGGAAATATCTCCGTAATCTGAAAACTGGCAAGTCCCCTGGTCAAGACGGAATTACCAACGAAGTTTGGAGAGCTCTTGCTCCGTCTGTTGCCTATCCTGTGTCAATTATCTTGAATATGTCATTTCGCGAAGGGAAATTCCCAGCCATGTGGAAAACTGCGGTAGTCGTGGCCACCTACAAGAATAGAGGACCACGCACCACCCCCAGCAACTATCACCCTATCTCATTGCTCTCTACTTTATCAAAAGTGTACGAACGTGTTGTATATGACATCATTTATGATCATGTTCGCATTTCACTTTCGCCAGCACAGTCGGGCTTTTGTCGGGGTGACTCCACCAGGTACCAGGTTACCCGCCTCGTGCAAGACATCCACACCGCCCGGAACGCCCATAACCATGTTGGTTTAGTTTTCTTCGATCTTGCAAAGGCCTTCGACACTGTTTGGCACAGGGGTCTCTTAGCTAAGCTGCGAACAGTATATCGCATTGATGGCAATGCTATCGGCTGGCTCTCATCGCATCTCTCTAACCGACATCAGCTTGTACGCTTCTCAACTGTGTTATCGGAGCCTTTACCCGTTACTTCTGGAGTCCCCCAGGGTTCAATCCTTGGGCCACTGCTATTTCTCCTGTATATTAATGACCTCCCCGATATTTCCCCTGGTGTCAGCCTTTTCGCTGACGACACAGCTCTGCTTTGCTCCAATGCTTGCCCTATACGACTGCACGAAGCCATGCAAGATGGCATTGGCAAGATTATAACCTGGATGCATGATTGGAAGTTGCAGCCAAACGTTGATAAAACGGCAGCTATGTACATTTCCCCTTCTCCCCCTTCCCTGCCACTTTGTTTTCCTTCTTCAAGTGTTGCTATTCGTATTGTTGAAGAGCATAAGCATCTTGGCGTTGTCATTGACTCTAAATTGTCGTGGTCACCCCATGTGCAGTATGTCTGCAAGCGCACAAGCTCCATCCTTGGGGCTCTTCAAGCCCACTGTAGACATCTTCCTCTTTCTTGCAAACGCTTGTTTTATCGCTGCTATATATTGCCCTTACTTGACTCCTGTGATACTGCTTGGTCTGGCATAACTACTACTGTATTGAACAAGCTAGAAACCCATAACCGCATGCTCCTTAAAATCTTATTTAGCAAAGATCGTCGCTTTCCCTCCGCTAGTCTTTACGAAATTGCCAAGATCAGTCCCCTTTCCACTCGACATAAGTGCCACCTCTGTGTTCTCATACATAAAATATTACCAAATAAAATACCCTTGCATATGCAGGCTTATAATTGGTTCTCCGAAACCCGGAATACCCGGAACTCATTCAGTCTCCCACGCGCTGCCTCCACCCTATTCACTAGATCCCCGATCTTTGCTGGCTATGTGTTTTGGGCAACATTACCAACGCAGGCCAAGACCAGCACGTCGATGGATAATTTTGTTGCTAAAATCTCTGCTCAAATATAGGTTTCATGTACAATGTATATCCTGCTGGTTTGTCTCCTCCTTTGCCTTCTTTGCCTTTTATTTGTATTCTTTTATCTGTTTTACTGCTGTGGTTGGCTTTCAGCCTTGTCTCAGTTTTACTGGCCGTCATCATGATGTGCCATGAGATAATGATATAAATACAAATACAACAACAACAACAACAACAACAACAACAACAACAACAACAACAACAACAACAACAACAACAACAACAACAACAACAACAACAACAACAACAACAACAACAACAACAACAACAACAACAACAACAACAACAACAACAACAACAACAACAACAACAACAACAACAACAACAACAACAACAACAACAACAACAACAACAACAACAACCTGGAAGTCTTTGCCTGCAAGACCTTCCCTAAAGATGGTCGTGTCTCTGCTAGGATTGTGATCGGTAAAAGCAGCGTCGAGCTAGTAAATAACCGGGCATTCTGGCCCCAACCAGTGTATTCCCGCTTGTGGAACTTTGACAAGTATGCCACTGACTCCTCCAACAACACGACCACTGAGCAGGACGACAGTGATTCCCACGCCACCCTACCCTCTCAGACAGCACAGCACTCGCCAGAGCAACAGGCCAAGGGACCAAGTATGCCGACAATATTTGAATGACAGAGACACGACCACTCCGCCTAATGCTCACAAATGCCTTTGGCATACTGAACAAGATTGGCGAGCTCCAGCACGTCCTCATGCACCATAATGTTGACCTAGCAATTGTCACAGAGACCAAACTGACTCCGGAGAAAGCCACGCCAGTGGAAACATCCATACCTGGCTACCACCCTGCTATACGGCGCGACAGAACAGCACATGGTGGTGGGGTTGCAATTTGGGTGAAGGCTGGCCTACCATATAGACAGCTCAACATCGACTGTGCCGACCAGGAAATGCTCTGGATTGGCATAACTGGACCACAGGGCACAAAGGTTGGTGTATGTGCTGTATATCGCCCAGGCTCCTGTGCAGACAATGACATACGGCTGTTCTCCCATCTCGATGCTGGGATCGATGCTGCACGGCGCTCCTGCTCTCGCGTCATTGTAGCTGGTGATTTTAATGTACACAATACAAATTGGCTCGGCAGTCGGCGCACCACACTGGCGGGAGAAACAGCCGAAGATTTATGCTACCAACACAGCCTCACTCAACACATCCACGAAGCTACTCGTGGGCGAAATACCCTCGACCTCGTCATGTCAGACGTACCTGGTAATATCATCAGTACACTGTACCAACCCCTGGGACAGTCGGACCATGCTGTAGTGATCACGGACTTCGAGCTGACACCACACCGGGACAGACCAACTGCGCGTACAGTATGGCGATATCAGCATGCCGACTGGGATCGTCTGAGAGCCTTCTACCGTGACACCGACTGGACTGAGATCATCACTGATGAGCCTGATACATCATGCAATCTTGTAACCCAGAGGATCATCAAAGGTATGACCAGATTCATCCCATCGAAAGTTCTCAAGACGAAGCCCACTGATCCCGTCTGGTGGACCCCGAGTGCTCTGCTGCTGTCGCTGCCAAACGCCATGCATGGCGATCACTTCGTCGCAGCCAGGCCAACCCGGCACTACAGGAGCAATATCGCCTTGCCCGCGTGACCTCATCGACTTGCCTTTCTAGAGCCAAAGAACATCACCTCCAGAGAATA